TCCTTTGCAAAAAGCTGCTGGCTATCGATCGATACGCGCACAATCCACAAAGATATAACACGCCTGACTATGATGACTGAATACGGAATCGAGTCGGCGGTAAATCGTATTCCTTCGGCGTATTGTGACAAAGCGAAAAATCCTTAGCAACGGTGACAATTTCGTCTTTTCCATCTCCGATGGCGATAAAGATCAGAAGAGAGAAGACAGACGCTTAATCGTGCGGCGGTCAACATTTTCTTGTTAACCGCTCAACATCATCTTGTACAGGTCGCGTTTCTATACAGGTCTAACGACCAGATTTATTTCAGGATCACAGAGAAATTGCTCTCTCCCTCTGTTCTTGGCGTGTGATGTATTTGGAAAAAATAGATGAGACTTTGCCAGAAATTGAACGATGCGTGAACTTTGGAAAAAACGATGGGGGACGCGGTGTATACTAACAACTACAGAGTGACGCAACTCGCGTCATCATTTTCCAGCGCGGAATAAGGTAGATGAGAGATCTGTGTGCGATGTTGCGCGCGAGAGTCCGCGTATGAATCTCGAAAAACGATCATTTCCCGTGAAAGATCGCAAATGCATTGCGGCGAAAGAGCATGTACATGTGAAACGTTCGCAATTCTGTCAACAACGGCGATACGCGTGAAGCATAAAACGCGGTGATAACATACCCGCGGAAAAGCAATGCATTTTTTTTATATATGTTGTGTAAGGTTAACTGTCTCTTTCTCTCTCTCTCTTTCTCTTTCTCTTGACGTAACATCTTCAATTTTTTGTATATTTTTTGCATCTGTTATAAACTACATTTGCAAACGAATATTCGAGCCAATCCGGATCATTGATATCCGATAACGAGATGAAATATATATTCGAATATTCAATATAATTCTAGCGTTCCTCTCTAATGCGCCAAATTGTTGTATACAAACGATGATAGCACGCGATTCGAAGAAAAGGAGAATCGCATGCTTATTGCTGGGATTCTTGTAGGTTCTCCGGAGACATTGCGTCCCGAATACGGAAACACATGTTTCTATCGAGAGCGAGTTTAAGCAAATTGCAGACTCCGCGTTTAACGCCAGCTCCGTTGCGCTCTTTTGCGACCAATTGAAAACGGCGTCACATAACTCTTCCTGTTTGATCCTGTGTGCCGACACATATGCCGCGTTAGGAAAACCAATGGAAAAAGCATAACGCGGACTCAATTTAAACTGTCACACACGCCAGCAAGAAACGCGCGCCGCAACGCGAAGAGAGAGATATCACGCGTAGATCCCTGAGAGGATTTATTTCGTTGCGTCCCGCGCCCGGCGTATCCCGCATTCGCCATCGCTAGAAGTGACAAGATTTCACTCTCTCGTTTCTTTTGACATTTTTATCCCTTTTATCTCTTTGCACCTTTCCCTTGCATGCCGCGCCTTTATGGAGTGCTTCTCTGTGAATCCACAACGAATGACCTGCTCATAAATATCGACGTCCATGCATATTGTCGAGCAGTTTGCAGGAAGAGATTGCGAGCTGAAATCGATAATTTAGACAGTTCCAAGTAGCAACACAGTTATTTTTTGAAAAAAAAAAAAAGCATTATCGATGATATACAACAAAATAATAATAAATATTGATAAATTAGTCGCCTTTGTATATATTTATAAATTTTCTGTGAATAAGTTGAATAAAAAATCAGCATTATGCGCTCCTGTGTGTTTGAAATTTAATTATTCTTGACGATGAATCATGTATGAAGAAACAAGAAAAAAAATAGATGAAAAATATTTTCTAGGCATTATTTTTAAACTAGGCCACGCCGCATCCCATTTAAACTTCCTCTAATCTTCGAAAGGGCAATCCACGCTTCTTTAAAAGACCGAGTTCTGACTACATTTTCCGAGTCAAATTCAATAATAGCGAATTTACGCGTGACGCCAGTGTGGCAGCGCGCAAACTTTCCTATACAGACACAATTTCCTGCGATCGCAAAGTTCTTTCGGTCTTTCGCCTTCGTTACCATATCACCCCCTGCGGCACGGCACTTTTAACGTGCCGCCGCGGCATAAAACGATGTGTTTTATGCACCGTCCGGCACATTACCGGCTTAACGTCCTTCCCGGGGAAAATCTTTCTGTAGTCGCGAAGGAAATTTTGACGCACGTCAAACAGAAAAAAGGGCGTGTCACGTTCGTAACGTGATGGAAAATATTTTTTTGACGTTGTACAAAATTTTCACCATCGCATCATAGAAAACTTGACGCGAAATGTTCATTGAACACTATAGCTAATATTCTTCTACTTATAAAAAAAATATTGTGATGCCCTAAAACATACTTCATTGGATTTTATATTTTTTTTATAATGTGACAGTTAGATATACATCAGATAGATAAACTTACCGGAACTGAGTCAAACCTCCTACGCATTTAAGGAGTATTATCACTGACAGATATTCAGTAGACGATCTATCAAATGATACGCGACAGCCTGTATGATGGATCGTTATGCTTTGTACATTCCATCTTTCACTTCAACTTGTAGTATTAAATATACGAAATATATATAGAACATCGTGACAGATCGTCTAACAGAACAGTATAAAGTTTATGAGCCTATGAAATTGTCTTTATTAATAGAGTAGTAGTTTGTAATATGTAATAATAATAATAGATTTTCTTTTAACATAATAAATATATATTGTTTGTTGCGATAACAAATAAAACATATCTTGTTTACAGTTTTTTTTCAACGTAACAAAATTATTTGCATCTTCACAAAAAGTGGTTGTAAAAGAGTATAAACCAGCCAATCGATAAAAAACGTTGAAAAAGATTAAACAAATGATTTCTTTCATTCTAGCTGCGTGCGTTCGAACGTCGTCGATTATTCGAGTACTAATTTTTCGGAGAGACGGAGTTACGACGCGAAATGTGAACGATTAAACTGGCTTTTCATCAGAGATACGAAGGCGCGTACGAGCGAGAAAAAGCAGTTAGTTCCCCTTTTCGTGTCTGATCAAACCGACGTCGGAGCCCTCCCAACGTGTACGAGACAGCGAAAGCACTCGAGAGAAAATCTCTTGTTCGCGTCCAGCGAGCAATCGATTGCCGAAGAAAAGCGGTCCGTGGGAAAACGACGCCGCCACCCGTCGACAAACAACCATAGGACCCAGCTCGCTTCGCTACGGTACTGTAGGCACACACCTATTACTCGCTCTTTCACGGAAGCACGCTAAATCGAAATTCGAATCCGGGCGCGGCACCAGCACACGCAGCCGACATTGCCGTAAGTGCTGTCTGGAGAATATACGCAATATAAAGTTGCGATACGATAACACGAAAATGTATCGACAGAAGCGCGCGCAACGTATTTATACTCACACTTGAGTAAATTTCTCATTATCAACGTGATGCGTAGTAGATATATCTCGGTATCGGCCCAACTCGCGACCGCGGGGACGAGCTAAATTTTTCTATTTCGGTGTTTACTTCAAATGCTAGTTAACTAAATAATAAAAATCTTTATGCAGAAACGTTTTCGGGAACGTGTTTGTGCCGGCAGAGTTGCGCAGTAAACGCGATTAAACACGTGTATCTGGTTTTACTCGATTAAGTTTCACGTAAGTTCTTGATCCTTCGCTGCACTCGATGCACCATGTTTCATAACTAGTTCTTCCTGACGAAACTCGTCTCGTGTTCTAGCTCAATTTCCGCTTTCCGGTTTGCACGGTCTATAGGTGTGTTTTGGCGTTTTGGTCCATATTTCTCTAAGGCAACTTCAGACAGCTATTACTACCGGTTGCTGAGCTATTGGTGAGGAAAATTGTGACGAAGAACCGGAATGCTTCCTATTGTGAATTCTGCGTCCAATTTCAAAAACATTGGACTTGCGTTCTCATTTCTGGTTAGAACATCCACATCCGACGTGAAATGTTTTAGATTTTTCTAATATCACAACTTTTATTGCCTTGTACACCGTTTGACACCATCTGACTTTACTTCGTCATATAATCATGTTTTTTTATTTATATATCTTTTTTTATTTTTTCTCTACTCGCCCTAAAACAATGCTATGTTTACTAGTAGGAAAAAATATCATCTGTCGATCTATGCCACGAAATATCTGCACACTCTCAGCTGACAATTCAATTGCCTGATTTGCAGCGAAAGACGCGTATAGTGACAAACCTCTTGACAGGACAGATGTCAATGTTCGCGTGCTGTCTCATTCTGTTCTAAAAAGAAAAAGCGCGCGAAATAAAGAAAAGGAGAAACAGTCGCGACAAAGCGCCATTCCAGGTTCCCTGATCGGTCAATAACGATTTCCCGGGAATATAAATGTCTCCGCGAGAGCAGCCAACCGACGCCGTTCAATTCGGAGTAGGTCCCGCTTTGCCTTTTAATCTTGTAGCTTCGCCTCTTTTAATCTCGTTCCATCGACCTGCCCCTCCATAACCGACCGAGGCAATTTCTCCTTTCGTCTGTTCGGTCTAACCGGATGTCCGCGATGGACGTTCCTATGCGCCACGCAGATTCACGTTCTAGTGAACACAACTCACACAACTAAAATCAGGATATTTCGCCAATCTGTGTCGAATTTTCTCTCTCTCTCTCTCTCTCTCTCTCTCTCTCTCTCTCTTTCTCTCTCTCTCTTGAGCAGTTTGAGATACGCAAAATCATGATTATGATTTGAAACTAAAATTATATAAAAGAAGATAAGTTCTTCAAAAAGATAAATTCTTTTTAGATACTTGATTTCTTATATATTTTTCTATATTATCATAAAATTATTATTTAAGTTTTATTTTTTCTTATGTAAATTACAATTTAATTTAAAATAAAAAATGCTTGGGAAAAACTTTCCGTTTCGTTCGAATTTTGTCACCAGATATTGAAAATCTTCCTTCGACAAAAAACGATCGGTCCAAAAGCCGATCTACTGCCGAGACCACTCCACTTGCTCTCGGGCAACTTCGCGGCGGTACTTCAGGATATCTACGGCTGAAAGATTCGGTGCCGTAACAGTCGGACCGGGTGCATAAATCATCTGCACAGGTTCGTGTTAAAGGTAGGTGACGACGCCGGCAGGCCACCCCGTCAATAAAATGCAAAGACGGAGAAATAAAGTTAAAGATAAGCCGCCCCCGCATCCACACCGAGAGTACTTGGACGCCGAGTTCAGCGATGAAGAGGAAAGGCGCGGTAAGATTTACGAGAAAAATATTAAACGCACCTACTTCGCACCGTTTCCACACTCCCGATTTTTCTCTTCTTTCTCTTGGCAACTCTCTTCTTTCACTCTGTCTGTTCTCTATTTTCGACACCTTCGGGCCTATCATTTTCCAACCTTGGTCTCGTACAACGTTCGTCGTGCGGCACTCTGTAATTTTTTCAAAGATATAATCCACATCAAAAGATACACGCAATAGAAAAATCAGAAAAGAATTGAATACGTTCAATCTTTCGTGACAATTATTGAGATTCGTTCTTTGTTACAATCTCTGTTTTTTTTTTCAAACTTATATCAAACGCATATATGTATATTTTGTGAGCATTATATGCGATACCTGTGATTGATACGTGCGACTGATAAATTTTTGAATGCTTCATTACAGCGTGACGTTGATTAATTAAACAGGCCGGGTTTATTTAATTCATTTTCCAGTTTGCGCGAGTTGTTACGGCAGTCATAATTTTCCCCGATACTTCTGCAAATATTAACAAGGCAGCAATAACAACAACAGCCACGTCGACCATAATGCGGCTAATTTGAAGCAAGTTCGCTCGACAGCGCGACGATGCGCTTGAATTTGAACGCGAATTCGACGATGGGCCGCGCGTCCAATTTGCAATTACAATGGCTGCTTTGTATGCTCCCGCGGGTACATTCGGTAACCATAAATTCCACGATAACTTTAAAGATGGAAATAGATATGATAGATAGATGAACGCCGATTGCGCGTCGAGGGTGCTCGGTGTTAACAAACCGATTCTCTATTTCAATAATAATGATATATATCGCGCGCGTAAGCCAGCCACTTGCAGCGATTAATCGGTCATTCGCAGATTCCGCTGCTGCCCAGTTCCTAATTTGTCCGCGGGATTATGGCAATTTACCCTCTCGCTTCGATTCCGATCGCTCGCGTCCGCCGCTCGCTGGAAAATGAAGCTAATTCGTCCCTACGCGAGTTCTCGTCCTATAGGTAAATCGCGCGGTCCGAAAGTAGGTGAACTAGATAAACCGATAATCTACATGCAACCTATCCAACCCGACGCGAATTAATGTTATTATCCGGAACCTATTCTTCTTCGGAAAGACGAAGGAGAACAGTGCGAGATCCGCGCGAATATGTAATCCGCAAATAATTAACGTCGCGTGGATGATCGAGGACGGCGATTTTGCTCTTGATCGAGGATGGCGACGCTCTGATTTTACATTAATTTACGAGTAACAAAAGAAGTCGCGTATTTGTATAAAAATTATTTGTACTATTTTTTCTTAAATATATTCGCTTTAAAACTCCCGATTACGATTTTTAACAATGCGTCCGTGAGATAAATAATTGTTCTATTATTAAACTAACATATATATATATATATATATTGTAAACTGATTTACTTCTCTTGGGAAAAGATTTAAATCTTTTTTATGGAATTTATTCACGACTATTTCTCGCCACGTGGGAGAATCGCATTGCAATAATTTTACTAATATCGGCGATCTCCGTAGAAAGTACACACGTGAGACTGATAAGTCGCTATGCATGTCGCGAAAGAAGACGTCGGCCGTATCTGCATAATGTCCGCCATCATAGCGGGATAAATCGCCCCAACGTGGCCTACGGTAGCGTCTCGATCGCGACGCGACGTGTTTCCTCTTCCGTCGATTTACTAGCTACTCGCGATTTATAGTTCCTATTAGATTGCCAGCGCGCAGCCAAAGGCACGGGTGGCGAATGGGCGGTGGCGATGACCTCGAGGATGGGATCGAGACGACCCGAGGAATGATATCGGGACGAACGAGAGGCCCTTAAAACGAATGTCTTCTATTTAACTCGGCTGGCGGATTTAAGAGAAAATCCATCTCGTCGCTTCAATCGGCGACTAACGAACGGCCAGTACCCGCCCTATGGAATTTGTTTTTTTCTTTTCAATGTATTTTATTAGCTAAAAGATCTGTTTCTTCGGCGGCAGGACAATTTGTGTGGAAATAAGATCTTGCTTTCAGAATTCACCATTGTTTCGCAATCGTTTGCAATCTACGATCATTATCAAGCGTAATAAATAATGTTACAGATGAGGAAGATGAACAGATGGAACTGATATATACAACGGATGAGCTAAATGAATTGGTAAACAGCAAATTTACGTTTTTCTTTTTTTATTTATACATACATATCAATAGTTATTTATTTGAGACAAACTTGAAACAAATTTCGACATTAAATAATACATTTATACATTTGGAATATTATTTATGTTGCTGTTTTTCTTTCAGATTAAGTGCGTCAAGGAAATGACGACTCTGAGCGGATTGACGGATAGCGATTGGACGCAGAAATGCGACATGGATGTTCACAGATTCTTCGTCGATCCGAGCGTTCCGCTTCTCTGCATCTATCATGTGAACGGCATCCTAACCACAGAATTTTCATTTCCTACGTTGCCGGTGCACGAGCTAACCTACTTCGTGAGACAGTCCGACGAGATTCTCCACCCGAAGAACTTTCGCGAGCGCATTCTCTTCGGGTCGGTGAACAACAAGGTGGAGAGCCACATACTGAGCGTCATCCAGAACGTGCTCGCGCCGATCTTTTTCACGATCGAGACCTGGCCTGACAGTATCCTTCACTCTCCTGCTCTCTCTTTCTCTGTCTCTTTCTATCTAATTCCGTGTCTCTATTATTGCATTTCTGTCAAACTGTCCAATTAATTCGCGTAACTAACGCGCAAAGTTTTGTCAAGTGAAACACCGAGCAGCGCGAATTTGCAGGACGAAGCCGCCGACTATAACGATAGACCAACGAGAAGGATCCGCAAAGTTTTCTCATTTTTTCGCTTCCTCGCTTCTTTTCCTATTTCTTTTCTTTTTTTTTCTTTTTTGTTTCATTTCGACAAATAATGTACGTGTACAGATCGCGAGTTACGGAACTTTAATTGGGTCCGAACACGATACACCCTCGCGATCTTCTCGCGAGTGACCCATTTGAAACTGCGCGCTGCGCCTCGGTGATGTAAATTCTGTTTAACTTTCAAATCCCGCCCCGCAACCGGTTGATTTTGCAGTCGACGGTGATTTAAAGTTTTTCGCGGATTTAAATGTACGTTTAAAAAGCTTCATCCCGACGAAGGACGCCCAGGGGAGACATCGCGCGTTTTATCCCCCACTCGGATATTTCGTAATTCAATCCGATATATAGCTGTACTGATATATGATCGATTTTTGCAAAGCAATTTCAATCCAATCAAAGCAATTGGATTTTCGGATGCTCTGACATAGTCTATTTCGTCGCGTGAGTTTCAGCTGTGTATGTTCTGTTTTTTTCTCATCTCGCTGATACTGATGATTAGTACATTCTCCGGCCTTTTTCATACGCGCGCCATAACCGTTGTTTAATGTGCCCGTCCAATCTCGATTATAATAATTTTACTGCTTTGATCTATATCCAAACTTCGTGTTAATGGTTACGACAATGGTCTTCTATTGATCGGCTACGCGATCTAGTCTTTTAAAATGTCCAATCCAAATGCAATTTAAGTGTGAATTATCAGCAACGCGAATGATAATCTCGTATGTACGTATATGGTACGCGCGATCGATGAGTTACTGCAGTTTCAATCGACGTCGTTGTGATAAAGAGGAGAAGGAAGGACCCACCCATCCTGGTGAAACCGGTCTCACGCAATGCCAAGGGCGATGATCGCAATCGTCTATAGTTGCTACGGCTTAAGGTCATAACAATCTAACGTGATGACATTACCAACTGAATTTCCTCCCAACTTTAGCGCTGCAATCCCGTTACCGCAACGCACGACACAAAGTTCCGCTCCCTGGTGTCCGCGGGGACAAGCGTGAACGTTTGAGAGGGGTGAAGGAGGAAGAGGAAGGGAGGAAAAGGGGGTTGAGAGGAGAACGCCGGGGAATTGCACGAAGTTATTATTACCATAATTTTCGGCTAAATGCACTGCACAACTCACCGCCGCTGGTAAATCCAGCGTCGATGTTTGCCCACGTACGTGAACGGGGATTACTTCGCTGTCGAGTTAGAAACGATTGCATTGCATTTCGGACGGGGAGCCACTTCATTATTTCTAATGGATCCTGAGCGGATTTTAAGGGGATCGAAACGTTGCTTTTGTGTCAGGACATCCGGTTGCTTCGTGCTTTTCTTTTATCTTTCCTATGCAAAAGTCGTAAATTTATGTGCGCTGCTTGTGATTTGAATGTTGTATGTGCAATTTTGTAAAATATTCAAATTAATATTAGATTTATACAACAGCGCGAAACTGCGGGAAGCGTTTACGAGAAATTATTAAAATTCAGCACACTGCGATTTAATTGTAAAACACGATTTTACTTCTTTCGTGTTTTTGTTATTTTGGTCAAGAACTGCAATTGCACGATTGTATAAATTACTACGACAACGCAGTCGATCACTTCGATATATGTATACGCACAGTGAGCGCAATCCAGTTCGATAAATCTCTATCAGTGAACATGTATAGCCGGGGTTGCAAGCAACAATCCGATGTGATAGACGTCGAGAGCAGCTTGTGCGGTATAAAAAACGGCGAGTATTGGGAACCCGGGCGATAACGAGGCTGGAACGTTATGTCACGTTCGTTGGGTTTTCTTTTCCTTAATCGCGCGCCTCGAAACACATGTGTGAGAGCGGACTTCCACACCAAACTGGACACCTTCCTGTGCAATTTAACGGACCTCACGTACAAAATGCTGGGCTTAACCGTGATATATGTACCTCTGGAGACCAGAGAGTTCGCCGCGAAGGAGGCGGTTACCGATAAAGAGCTAGTGAAGAGGCTGGAGAACATAGTAGCCTACTGGAATACTCAAATCAAAATAGCTCTGTCCGACCAGGAGCAGGTGACTTCGCGCGAGTTACTCTCTCTCGACGATGAATATGACTTCTGGACTTATCGATGTAAGAGATTCTTTCTATAGATACGGAAATGACACGGGGTGCGAGAGACAACGAAATTTCCTCGATAATATATGTTTCCGAGAATTCTTACAGTAAAAGTTCCTTCTAATGCGACATTTTAGCGGAATTCGATTTCGATGTTATACACATCCTTACGAAATAAAAAAACGAGGAACTTAATATCACTTCCAAGCTTTTAGTCGTGTTTACTTATTATTTATTTTATTTTTGTTTGCAAATGAATTACTTTGAATTTTAATATTTTCAAAAGATGCATTCTTTTTTCACAGATGACAATCTTTCTGGTTTAGAGTATCAACTGCAGAACAATACAGTGGATTTTATACTTGAAACATTACTAACTGCGCAGTCCACTTACGTTCGTCAATTCGTGATGCTTAAAAACGAGATCGAGCACGGTACAGTCGAAGCGCAATCCAACATTCAGTACCTGAGCATTCTGAAAGACACTAGCGACGAGCTGAAAGCTTGCACGAATCCCGCAAACCTGGCTCAATATCTGCCAAAAATGATGCATCTCATCAGAACGATCTGGCTGAACTCTCCTTACTATAATACTTCCGAGAGAATGAGCAATCTCTTTAGCGCACTCAGCAACGAGATCATTGTCAAGTGCAAAGACTTCGTCGATTTGGCAGATGTATTTCGAGGGAAGACCAGAAAAAGTATAAAAATTCTAAAGGAGTGCATCGAGTTGTGCGAAAATTACAAGACCATGTATTATCAAGTAAATTATTTTTAATGACTATTTCTCTCTTTATTATTGTTGTCTCTCTTTGTTTTTATTGTTGAAAATATATCCTATATGTGCAAATATAACGCGAGAATTATTTATAAGAATAAGATACACAAAGTTTTTTTCAAAAACACTGCGCAAATTTATTTTAATAATAAATAAGAGTACATTTCTCTGAAAAACACTTTTGCACATTCAAAAGCCGGTTTTGCGATCGTATATGCAGAAGCGTATAAAACGCGATGCTTTATGCTGTCTACAAATTCACCTTTCACGACCGGTGAATTAAACTTCCATTAAATTATATGTGCACAGCTACTTTAGCTACTTAGACCTCTTGTTAGACAACGCGGGAATGAATTTCTCCGTTAATGCGAAAGTTTCAAAGTGATTTTGGTTTTCAGCAGTAATTACGATTAAGAATAATAATTCACATTGTTTGACCGCAGCCGATGAAATACAGCGAGATTGTGAGAGATAATTTTCTATTTTACATGATAAACGCTTGCGTTTTGTAGCATCCAATAAAATATAAACTTAAAAATGTGTACGAACAATCCATTCTTACGACGCTTCTTAAAACTACAAAACAGCAAGGTGAAAAAAGGCTTTCACTTTAAGTGGAAGTCGCAATATAACACCGACTTACGTTTTTCCCGTGGGCAGATAAGCTAGAATAGAGGTGGGAATTGGGAAACGGTGTGACGCGCCGGTTCTCCCGACTACTTGTTCTCGAGTTACGCTTGGGGTTAGCACGCCATGCGCCCGAAGGGATAGGTGACATGACTTCTTGGACTTTTCTGCAGAAATCTGTGCAATCTTGTTACATACTGTTTTATGGATCGTGTGTCGTTCCTCAGTTCTCCGTATTCTTTCACGTTAAATCATGACAGAGTTTTTTTATCCTGAAAAATAATTTTTTTAAATGATAAAAATCTACAACTATTTTTTTAATTTTTACAAAAAATCAATAAATCAGTTTTCTTTATTCTAAAAATTCTTTTTAACAAAAACGATTCTGATAGTTTCAATATAGGAATATTAAGCAATTATACAAGTAGTAAATTATACAAGTAGAAATATTAAGCAATTATACAAGTAGTATTTTTTTATCAAACAATTTAATGTATAGCTTTAGCTCAGCTTTGGCTTTGACGAACCAAAAAGCTCTTTTCGGTACATTTTGTTTTATAATCCTCAGATCGCGAGCGCTCACATCAATTTCACGCGCCACCCTTGGGACCTAGATTCGGAGAGTATATTTCGTTACATCGACATTTTCATCGGCAGGTGTCAGAATATGATCGAGATTTGTCAAGCGATGATTGATTTTGCCAGGTTTAAATAATACACAATAGAAAAAAAAAAATACATTGTAGACTATTTTTGTACACGCTTAGCTCGGAAGCTAAGATTGAGCTATTGAGATATTATTAATGTGATCAAGTAACGCTACGATTGTTCAACATAGGCTAGACGAAACTATGGAAATTGTGTGTCCCAAATTTGGCGGGACGCAAGGCGAAGAGTTCGAAAGAGTGTGCCAAAAGATCGAGAGACTCTTGTACGAGGCTTTGGATAAAATCGAGGAAAACTCCGACAAGATCTTCGCTGTTCGCGATCCCGCGTGGAATGACGACATGAATACATTTCACGTCGAAATGAGGGACTTGGAGATAATGATCGAAAACTTGATAACCACCGTGTTCATAAACGTTAAAACCGTTCAAGAGGGAATTGAAAATTTACGAAGCTTCTACAATTATCTGAACCGCGAGAATCTAAAATCAGTGTTCGAAAGCAAGACCAGCAGCGTAAGGAGAAATTAATAGCCATAATTTTTATTTTTTCTCGTAATAAAGTAAAGAAAATTTTCTCAAAACTTTTATAAAATAAATTTATAAATTTTAGGACTGTAAAATCTATGAAAGATTCTAATGAGAAATTATCTCTTTGTCTACATATTCAAAAATTGTTTACAAGAAGAAGATGACGTTTGCAGAAAGCAATTTTTATCGTTTCATTTTCAGGTGTGGCAAATCTTCGCCGACGATATTCAACGGACAAAGCAGGAGGTTCTGACCGGGAGAGAAGAATATCCCTCGATCACTTCGTATTACGCTGGCAGAGCGTTGAATCTACGTTTGAAGGGCGATCGGCTGCTATCGACGCGTAAGATGCTGGAAGAGGCCGCGTGGATGCCGTACTGCGGCATGAGCGAGGAGATCTATCATCAAAAGGACATCGTGATCAGATCCATCGAGGACTCCATGAAGGATCTCCACGCGAATTGGCTGTACGACGTTGGTGAAAACCCGCGCGCGCGACTCGACCGTTTCCTGATACGCCGTAGCGATAGCAAATCCGGTCTGCTCGAGTGCAATATCGACCCTAATATCCTGAATCTCTGCCGCGAGTCTTCCTATTGGATCGGTCTGCGATTCACCATTCCCGTGCATATACAACTGATATACGACAAGTGGGATACGCTGCATTTTACGTATGAAAATGTTCTTGCCGTCACGCGGACATACAATCAAATCATCGAAGGTTTTGGCTCATTATTTTTTAATCGCTATTTGCGCTTCTCTTCTTTCAGCTTGCGTCGAAAAAATACCTCCGGTTAAGTAAAATAACGACTTGATTCAAAGCGCGACAAAAGTGGCATTTTTCGTATTTGCCGTCACACACATAACGGCCTTTTCTCCCTCGAAATATTCTTGCAACGTAGTGAAACTTGTATTTTTCAGCATTGTCGCCGACGGAACGTGAACTGTTTCGCGAATTAATTCGGCTGCTCGACCGAAAGATCAATCCCGGCTTAACCAAGCTGACGTGGAACATGGATTACGTGGACTCGTACATCGAGAATTGTTTCAACGAAACGGCCAATGTATGCTCTCTCTCTCTCTCTCTCTCTCTCTCTCTCTCTCTCTCTCTCTCTCTTTCTCTCTCTCTCTCTCTCTTACTCGCGCTCTCTCATGTGCAAAGTCCGTATAAATTCATGTAGTATATACAAGCCGGCGTCTCACGGGAAAATTCAATTTTCAACCGCTCGTGAGAAGCCCACTCGCTGTCTACCTGCGTTTGAACAATTAATTACGTATATATAACAAACAATATAAATAAAAGGTCAGAATCGAGCAAAATAAAAAGTTGGTGAATATATTCAAATAAATAAAATTACATTTAAAAGTAACACGAAACGTTTCGTTTCTAACTTGAGACCTCTTCAGTCGTACACGTTAATAAATATTAATACATTAAATACGCAAACAAAAAAAATAAAAAAGTTACAAACAATAAAGTACGTTTTTATATATTTATCTTCTTCTCTCACAAGGTGTGCGTTCCATTAGTAAAAAAATTGTCATACGTTACATAATCAGACGTGTTGATTGTTCATGAGAGATAAAAGAGATGTAAATTAAGTCCTGGAAGAGCACACACATATAAGAGAAAAAAGACACAAACACCAATAATGTCAACCTTTTAATCCTTTACATTAAGATGCAGCCTCACGGTCTTAATTTGATTAATGATCTAGAAATGTTAGATAGCTCATATTTCGAACTAATGAGCAAGATAAAACTTTGAATTCGACTACAACAGTTTATCCCTCTCTATAAGTTTTCTTCGGTAGGGATAAACATATAAATAACTGCCTCTGTTCTTCCTACATCAGTTGACTCAGAACATCAATAACTTGTAAGTCTTGCGATATTATTGTTGGTTGCTTTTTTCTTTTATATGTGTGTGCTCTTCCAGGACTTAATTTACATCTCTTGTTAGAGACGAAACGTTTTGTGTCACTTTTAAATGTAATCTTATTTATTTGAATATATTCACCAATCTTATTTTGTTCAATTCTGACCTTTTTATTTATATCGTTTGTTGATTTTGCGAGCGTCTTTCCCCTTACTCTTTGTTACATATATATAATGCAGAAACGGAATGATTATGATACGCGGTGAATACGTTTAGAGAGACATCGAGCTTGATTCGAGTTAAACATCCGTCGCGTTATTTTTATCTCCTTTGAAGAAGTTACTAGTTCCACTTTTTGTTTTCGTCTCAGATTGTCAAGTTAGCAAAGTAAACTAAATAAAATTACAAAGTTGTCTCCTTAGTTTCAGGAATTTATCGACACTTACAAAAGGTCGAACTCCAAGATCATAAGAATCTCCGAGAACATCTGCGACATTTCCATGATCAAGATAAGAGTTAATCACACGTACACGCTACCCGAATTGGTGCAGGAACTTTTGCACGTGAGGTGAGATTTCCTTGTCGCATTATATTCTGCGATGAATTCGAACGCGTGACTAAACCTTGAGGTTGAGCAAGAGTGCATTGATCGGACTTTTTTGCTTTTTAGAAACGAAGCATTTGAGATTATGAATAAAAAACTTGACATTATAGTTTTCCACGTCATAGAGATCTACAGCGGTTTCCAGCACGTGATTGAAGAGGTATAACTTGCTTAACACAGAGAATCTTACTTATGTTTATTGCCACGTTGAACTTTTTAAAATATAGTCGACATATTACAATCAAATCTTTTATTAAATTATTTTTAATAAGATCTTATATATTATTTATTTATTTCTTTTTAATTATTTTCTATGCCTCAAAGAAAGCACCGCAAAACAGTTCGCTAGCTTGCGGCAAATTTCTGATAAGTTATGTCAGAAGGTTTTTGCGAAGTCCAAATGCGAAAATGACTAAATAAGTTTGACGAAAGAATATTCACGGTGCAAAACGTGTATGTTGCGCACCCGCAGGCTACATAAAGCAATTCTCGTGTAACTAAAGTTAGAGAAGTAAGGAGCGTACTTACAGCAGATTCGTGTTACGATATGTCGCGCCGTAACGTGACTTCTACTACTAGCACGTGCCTCCTTGCTTAATTTTAAAAGTCGCCAATGCGTGTAACATTTAAATTACTATTGTCTACAAAATTTATTAATAACAGAAAATATGAATTTTATAAATTATGATATTAATAATAAACTATCAATTATATAATATATATTAATTTTATCTGAATCGCGAATAAATTGTAATAATAATACAAAGTTTACATCAAAGATTAATTTTTTTAAATAATATTTTTGCATAAAATATTTATAATATTCAATATAAAATTATAATAAAAATGTGTAAATTATAATACTTAGAACATTGTTATATATATATAATGGTTTCATTCTTTTTCTTTCTCTCTCTTTTATTTCAAGAGCCGAGCAGAATGGAAAGATTATTTAATAAAGATTGACAAAGTAATCGAGAAAGCCATCAGATTGTGTCTGAAAAGTTCTTTAACCATCATGTTCGAAGCTCTTCATGGTAGCGGCACGACAGGACCTTCGCCTCTTCTATTAGTGCAAGCGGATATTATCGATAACAAAGTCCGTAACTATGCACAACATGTACAACATACCACGCGCAAGTCTATCACGTGCATTATTTACCTATAACATTCTTGTGTGTAGATTGATAACAATAATTTCATTCGCTTGTAATTTATTTTATGTAACATACTTTCTAGCAATAACATAATTAATTTAAGTAATCACTAGAAGTCTATAAAACAAGAAATTATAAACTCTAAGTAATTTATTTATTTCTTTAGATAAACTTTGCGCCAAGTCTCTTGAAAATAGCTAAAATGATAGCAAATATCTTGAATATTTTATTGGAACCTTTGATAGACGTGCCACGATTAATTAGAAAGTTTAAAATGCATCAAGATAAAGCTGTTCTTCCCTTTTTGAGAATATTCAAAGAGGACAATGAACTGATTCAACTTCAACAAAAACTCAACGAAGGTAGATCCTTCTCCACGCTTTGCTTTTCAATAATTTTTGTCATTTGTCACACTAAATCTTTTACAGTTTTTATTGAAAAGTTATTACTTATATATCAGGCTGACATTTGATATTAATTTATCAATTTGCAGAAGTAAATTATTGCTTCGCTCAGGTGCAAAATTATATTAAAACGTGGGAATCTTACAAAGACATATGGGAAGTGAACAAAGATTTGTATATGCACAGGTAATGCAAAAAAAAATATTTTACATATATTTTTGTTTATTTTTATATAATATAATGTTATACCATATGTATTTTATAACCCAGATATGAAAAATTGAAACCAACAGCGGCATCTTTCGACGCAGATATAACGAGATATCTCAATGTGATAAATAGCGTCCAGCTGCAGGAAGCAATGACGACAGTGCATTTCCTCGATATAAATTCTGATGGATTGAAAGCCACCATCATCGAACATTGTTCAATCTGGCAACAGAAATTCACCACACTTTTGTTACGCATAACCAATGCAATGGTTGACCACGTTTATCACTACATCGCTGAAAATTCTACAGAGTTAGTTGTTCGCTTGGTTGTTATTCAAAACTAAAAGAATATTGCGGTTAAGAAAAAAATTTTATGTAAATGACGATCTTGAAAACAATTTTATATCACATATATTTTTTCCATTATTTATTTTACAAAAAAATGAGTTTCAAAGGAAACAATAATAATTTTTTGCACACGTCTCATCCTTTAATTCGAAACAATTAATCTCGTAAGTTTTTCCGCAGATATCTTTTTTTTTATGTTTGGAACTTTTACTATTCCAGAATTTTTCTTGCGTAAATTCCCGCGTGATCATCATCTATTCCGCTCTATAGCATAATTGAATCTCAGTTATACTCGTTTTCAGTTTCCCGATCGATACTATTAATGTAAATTTTCTCAAGTCGAGCGGAACATTGGAGAGGCGTTGCTCCCGAGGCGTTACTCCCATAAATCCTGTCGCGGAGCCTTTTTGAATTTCGAACTGAATCGTACGTGAATTCATTCGTTTTCAGAATAACGAAGGAACCGACGGATCTCATCAGCATGCAATCCGCGCTGCAATTGTTCGAGAGGCTCACCGCCGAGATTCCGAAAGAGGAGGAAGAGTTTCCCAAGATCCAAGAGCAGTACCAAACTTTGGGTAAACCTCTAAATGTTTCCTAGCACTAAATAAGAAGGTCGATGCGCCATAAAATCGACGGAATTTACTCTAAAATCCAATGTGCATTACTCACGAAACTGCACTACGCTCTCTCTACACAAATTTTCTTTTTTTTTTTTTTTCATTTACATGTTTCGACGAGAGAAAGACAAGAACATTAAATTCAAGTTTACAGAAATTGCACTGCGTTATTATAAGTCGATTTATCAATTGTCATTCTTTGAATAAATTATGTGTGCACGTACGTAATATTCTTTTTTTGAAGGGATGCTTAATTTCAGGAAAGCACGAGGTACCAATGACTTTCGAATTCAGGAGAAAATTAAAAGACATCGACCGTTCTTGGGCGGCTTATTTGGAATTACTTGCCTCATGTCAAGTCACATTGCACGAAAAGAAGGTGCTCGCGTTTAAGAAAAGAACCAGCGTTATGCGATCTCGGATATTTTCCATGCATAAATATTTGTATTTACACTTCTCCTTTACAACCATTAATATTGTCCGTGTAATTGCAGGACGAATTTAAGCAGATCGTACTAACTGACGCATCAAAATATGAGCAGGATGTATCCTTTTTGGTGAGCAGATTTAACGACACCGGACCCTTCACGTCCGACTGGAATTCAAATGGTACATTGGTTTACACGCACTCATCAGACGTATAAATCCGCACTTGTTGTGTGAAATAGCTTTGAGTCGTTGCATAAATCACTTACCGTATCTTTTCGAGCATTTCTCTCGAGACGCTACGTACATTTTGCGCGTTAATCCATAGCTCGCAATCTGTAATGTGATGCGCGTAACAATTTATAGAATAAATCGGCGATTTCTACTGTTTTAGCTGAAAAATGCAAAAAAAAAGATTTAAAACATAAAACACGGAAGATGAATAATGCACAAACAGTATTTTATTATTGAAAGATTTATTTGGTTTAATTAATAAATTAAATGTTTGTATTATTAAATTTGCGTGAAAGAATTAAAAAACAGAAATCTCAACAATATATATTTGTTTGTTGCTATACACAAGTTACAAATGCTATTTATTCATAGCACGATTGCGCATAGTGTGTGTTCACTTGTTTTAAATGCGTTTGTCGATAGTTCCACTTTTTCTCTCATGTAAACTGTAATCTGTGTAAACGAGTAACTGTTATGGAAAAACTCGTGTATGTTGAGAGCGCAAGCGTGAAAAAATAACAAATGCGGCAACTCGATTGCAAAACAAAAAGATTGATTTTAATCAAAAATTATTCAACAAAGCGTTTAGTTTATACACACGCGGTGTAATTAACGTCGTACTCTTAATGTTGCCTTATCATTGCAGACGCTTTAAAGTGGCTGGCCGTCTTTTGGACAGAGATTTACACTCTTCGGGACAGAGAGAGGATGTTGAGATCGCAGCTGACAAATTTCGGCATAAGTTACCCGGCCTTGTTGCAACTTGCACAGCTTGAAAAAGTAAAAATGTCTTGCGCATTCTCCTCTCTCATCTCTCTGTGCGATTCGCGCGTGCTTATTCGACTTGTCCGACACTTTTCCATCCGCGAAGGATGTAGCCGTGATCGAATTGGTGTGGCAATTGACGGGCGAATGGAACGACGCCTGGGAGCGCTATAAAACTAGAAATTTCTGGACGATAGAAATCGAAGAGATGGACGTAACCGCTAATCTCCTCCTGCGGAAACTCACGAAACTCTGCAGGGAGCTCAAAGAAAAGAATTGGGAGATCGTCGAGAATACCAGGTGCTGCAGCCCTCACTTGTAATCCAATTTCAGGTCGTGCGGCAAATGCACCGCCGCGTTACCGATGTTCTCCCGAACATTTTTCAACGAAAATCCAAAGTATCTCGTAATCCTTTAGCGGAGTGTCAATTAATTGTTGCGCGAAAAAACTAGAAACCGGTCGAGGTTTACAAACCTATTAATTGCGCTCGGTGATACGATGGCCATTTTTCAAAAAATGACAACGAGATGAGAGAGATTGCGCGCAGCGATGTAATCGACGGTAATTGTTGATGATTGAAACGGTGGTTGCAACAAAAATTGATCGAGTAGATTAACCTTTCTGCTATCAGGTTTTTTCGCGGTATAGACTGCAAAAAAAAATTGAAAAAAAATCGTCAATTTCGGAAATACACATACGAATGCACAATTCGAGCAATGGAAATAATCACGCATTTTTATCTTCCCTGTCTTTTCGTGTGTAAAACGGCGGTGTGCTCAGAACCGCATTGTTCCGCTCAAGAACTAATGCCAAGAACTGAATAAGTTTAATTCCACATGTTACACACCGATGCTTATTAACTTTTGTACCGTTAAAGCACGTGGCTTATGAAAAGTACTGCGAGCATACTTGTGTGTTATTTCTTTCGGCGATATTTTCCAAAACTAAGCAAGTACACGTTGTTTGTAAATGGCTGCGGCAATTTTTTGTTGTAGCTATAATTCATTTAATTTTTTTTTGCATCGAAAATTAAAAAACACACGCGCATATAGAACTATATTTATAACAATATACACATACACACATATATATATACATATATATATATATAAGCGATGCTTTGATAATCAATTTCTTCGCTGCAGATCGAGAATTGATAAGTTTCGACGAACATTACCGCTGACAACAGAACTAAAAAATCTGGCAATGAGACCGAGACATTGGAAGCAGGTGAAAATCGTGATCGATCAAGACTTCGATGAGACATCAGAGGAGTTCACTCTGGATGCAATTGCCAAAATGCAAATGCAAAATTTCACGGAGCAGATCAGCGAGATCTCTTACGCAGCCACAATGGAGCTCGGGATTGAAGTTGTAAGTTAATTAATAATGGCAATGTGTGCGAACGACGTGACAAACTAAAGTTTTAACATTATTAATAGCAAGTATCTATCTTGTATGAAATAACATCAACTTAAAACGTCGCATGATTCAGGGACTCCAACGTATTAAAGAGACTTGGGAAGCGATGCCACTCGCGATGATTCCGTACAAAGATAAAGGCATATTTAGATTGAAAGCTGTGGACAGCATCATTGAAACTTTGGAGGATCATCAGGTGCAGCTTTCATCCATGAAAGCGACAAGGTGCATTGCGTTCGCTAAACTAATTTTCGCGTTTACACTTCTAACGATACTGAGTTAAGTAGACTATACTGCTCTTCTCATCTCCAGGTTCGTTGAACCGTTCGCCCAGGAAGTCGACTACTGGGAGCGCGCTTTGTCTACAGTTGGCGAAGTTTTGGAAATATTGTTGCTTGTGCAGAAGGAGTACATGTATCTGGACAATATATTTACCACAGAAGACATCAGAAAACAACTCCCGAAGGAGACGGACGATTATGACAGGATTACGGCGGAGCTGGCCGAGCTTACGTCAAGGATGGCTTCTCTGGGATTGGTATTGCAAGCCACTCATACTCCGTGTAAGTATTACTAAAGAAAATATGTTTATTATATCATAGTTTATATTATTCGTGATAAATATGTACACAGAAAATGTTTAAAATTTAAATACAACGATTTGTAGTAATTAAAGTTCGAAAAAGTAAAACCTTACAGTAAAACGATAATTTTTTCTCCTTGCATTTGTCGAGCTATAAATTATACGACATTTCTTTGAAAATAAAATGCACTCAATAAGTGTGTTTGCAAAATATAATTATCTACTAAAAAAAGAATAACTAAAACTAGATCTTTCCGCATTTATTGCACGCGATCGCTCTGTGTAGAGCGTTAAACTTTAGGATTAAAATTATTTAAGCCAGAGCCCGGAGTATTAATGTAAATGGATACGTACAAACCGCCTGTCGGTTTCCGGCGCGAAAAAAAACGTAAAAAGAAAGAAAAACAGAAAAACGGTGGAAAAAAGAGAAGATAAAAGATCGGGCGACGAGCCGACGCGTACGCGTACTGTAAAATAATGTAAATCTATTCCATTGAGAGCATTTGCATTTTTTCTCTCCCGCACTTCCATCTCCACCACGGGCGGTCCTGTTAGCTGGCTTGCTGGAAGTCCTGAACAAACTCAATGACAAGTTGGAGGCGTTGCAGCAGGCGCTCGAACAATACCTGGAGACCAAGAGGCGCATATTTCCCAGGCTGTACTTCGTCTCAAACGATGATCTGTTGGAGATCCTGGCTCATTCCAGGCGACCGGATCTCGTGCAAGTGCACATCAGAAAGCTCTTCGCAAGCATCAAGTCGTTGAAGCTCAGCAAGGTACTCGTCGTCTTTTCCGCCGCGCTTCAGCTTTCTCTGCATAATCGTATTCTCGCGGGAGTCTTAACGTCGCATTTTTCCGCCATAAGTCGATTACCGGCAAATATTTGGCCGACGGCATGCACTCCATCGACGAAGAGTACGTCGAGTTCACAGAGCCAGTTATCTTGGAGGGTCAAGTCGAACATTGGCTGCGCGATGTCGGTGAGTGTGTGTGTAATATATAATTTCAAACAATTCGATATTCTTCATGTGCTCGACACACGTGCGTACTCTGAGAATCTTTAGATTTCATTCTCGTAAATCCTATTTCCTGTTATCTTCAAGATCCGCACTCGTGCGAGCTTACGTATACGAGAGTGCGAAGAAATATATACGCGTGAATTTATCGAAGATCATAAATTGTTTTTTGTAAAAATCGAAAGAGGCGGGTTCCGCCGCGTTTTGAAATATAGCGGCGACAAACGCCTTTCGCGTGCACGTCGCGTCGCGAAGAAGGGTCCCGATGCGACGTGTGAACCCTGGCTCATCAAATATTTACAATATTTTGTGACGTGCGCGGCACTGGCACGACACGCGGAGTGGCGTTTACATGCGATGTACATTCCGACGGCACGTAAATAAAAGCCGGAGGGGCAGAAAAGTGGCCATAATTTATGCTCAATCCCGACGTGACCGTCGGTCACTGTGAATTACGCGGCCGCGCCACTGGCCGCGCGCGCGTGCAACTTCGATTTCTGTTTGCGAGAGATAAAAACTGTGCGCGAACTCGAAATAGCGTGGGTGCGTGAGAAGCGAGCGTGAATAAAGTGCGAGCCGAGATTGTGGCAATTGCAGAGACCGCGATGAGGGCGACCTTGCGCGAAGTGTTGAGGCAGTGTCGGACAGCGCTGCGAAAAATGCTCACAAAACGCGACAGGTGGGTGAAAGAGTGGCCGGGCCAGCCGGACATTACGTCCACTCAAATTCAATGGACGAGCGACTGCACGCGGGCCTTGCAGCACTGCAAGTGAGTATCAACCGCGAGTTTGACCACGAGAAATTTGGCTCTGTTAGTTATGGATTGTCGGCGTTGACTCGAGGCTTGAAACCTCGGAATATCGTTCGAAGACATGAGAGACCACGGCGGGTGGTTTCCGCGCGAGGGATGAAAACGGGATGAGCGCGAGGGTGGATGAGGTTTCGATGGACACCGAGGTGGTCAGAGGGAGAACGGCGAAATAGCGCGACGCACGGGAGCGAGAAAAGGTTCCCTCCTCCCACAGGGTGGAAGGATGACCGAGGGAGACAGGAAACACGGCAACTCTAATAAGAGAAATTTTGCATATTCTACGTCTCGTCGTCGTGCGATCCGGCGACGACACCTCAGGCAACACCCTCCCACCCTTCATTTGCATATACTAGCCGTACCGCGAATAATTTAACCCACACCTCCCACAGCCCGGGCATATCCCTACCGAATAAAATCCCGTATAACCCGGGACTCTCTTGGTAACGCTCGTGTTACGCGAGGTCCGACATACTTTTTGTGCGGATACGTCAAAAAAAAAAAAAAAAAAAAAAAAAAAAACAAATTGTGCAAGATAGAAATGTCAAAGACGCGTGGTCGAGAAAACAGAGACGAGAATAACCTTTAGGGTGAAAAATAACATATCACTAAAAACACATTTTTACCGAGAAATATTACATTAGTAATCCGCAAAAAGCTGTCAAACATTCGCATTAACATTCGCACAATCTACCAATATTTTTGGAAGATGTAAAAATAACGTTAAAAAGATAACATTTCTCCTGTAACAACTCAAGAGAAACGAGTAGATGAATTGTGGTGTAGCTACGAAACGGTATGTTAGCTACGTATTTCACGATCCAATTAGTTCTGTTTGATTTGCCCTCGTATTCAAGGATGGCGAACTCGAAGAAGCCGTTGAGAAAGCTAAGGAAGAAGCAGAATCAGGCGTTGGACAAATACTCGGAAGCTATACGGAGCAGTCTGAGTAAGCTAGATCGATTAAAGTTCAAGGCCATCGTCATCATCGAGATACACGCGAGAGATGTGATCGAGAAGATGTACAGGACGAGTGAGTCAAATTCGATTTGCATACGTCTCCGCACGTCTCTCACTTTTATAATCATTTTTCCATCTTCATTCGATGCACTCGTTTCGCCACGCATCTATTTTCTCAAAAATACATTGGACACGTAACCGACAAATTACAAACTTTATACGGATCCATGCAAAGCACTCGCATCACGTCCCGGTGTTATATCGTCAGCCATATACGCTATATAGTGAGAAAACGCGGTCTCTCGTAAATTTGTATATCGGTGACATCCCGAAAAGAACGTTCCAAAAAAATATACACATGCACGCGACGGAAAGGCGGAAGTTTATTTTCCAAAAAATATATATAAATCGGCTAAAACACCTGTAACCACTTAGAAAAGTTTTATGTAATAAATCTGTGTGCGTCGTGTATAATTTCTTATGTAATTTTTAGGTTTAAAAAAATGTACTTTTTCAATCCACTTTTCAAATTTTTCAGACTGCAAAGACGTGTCCGCTTTCGAGTGGCTTTCGCAATTAAGATTTTACTGGGAAACGGACGTCGACGATTGTGTTGTCCGGCAGACGAATACTCGCTTCGTGTACGGCCACGAGTACCTGGGCAACACCGGAAGACTGGTAATAACTCCGCTAACGGATCGGTATGTTTCTCTTCAGACATTTCACTTAATTACAAAGAGAGAGATGTTGAATAGTTTCAGCATAGGTATTTTAATTATTTCCCTTTTATTTCTCTCTCGTTTCAACAAACTCCCCCGCAACGATTTAATCGGGGACGCGTATTATATTCCGCCGGGGGATCTTTATGTCGTGGAAAGTGCCGGATAAAATTAAGATCGTTTAAGTGAATTTGCACAGTGAAATTCGCGAACAATGGCATATGTGTACGCACTCGATTGCGGAACCATTTGCAAAATTACTTTGTGACGTTGCGTTACGACGTATTTAGTGCGGCGTGTGTTCTGTATGTGGCTGGTCAGCGCGCGCGATGTTGAAACAGAAGTTTCTCAGCGGTTATCGCTCGCGAGCTGTAGTTAGTCACGTAGTTGGCACCAGATCGTGGCCAGCCGTAATTTCGTCTGTCACGCGCGAAGCGAACACGACGGCGCGCGGGCCATGCTTACTGTTCGACATCACATCGGCGAGTGTAATACAACCTGGTTAGGTCAGCGGGCGACGATTACGAACGGCGATTGCTTGACGCTTGCCCCGACCTTCTCTTCACATGTACGTACGTACGATCAGCTAAAGTTTTAAGTGCGCCGTGTTGTATTTAATGAGGGAACTTCCTGGCGATACTGATCGCATCAAATAGCTCACGTTACATGATTACGGCTAGGAGGTCTCAAACTCGCGATACCTCGACTCTCATATCATACTTCATACAACTAGTTACGTCTTAGGGAACAATGTCACATGCCGGTGAAGCGAGAATCGCCGACGATGATCACTTTTGTTAGTTCCGACAAGTTCCGTCGAGGTCCTCCTTTTACCGCGAGGAGAGAGAACTTTCGCATGCTTAAATTTGACGCAACCAAGTTGAGATTATGAGGAAAGGGAAGGTAATTAGATTATGTAAAATGCAAGAGAGAATAGAAGTTTGGAGTTATTCCTTAGTAAACAACTGATAAAATATAGACGTTAAAAAATCGTCGCACGAGAAAATTGCACGTAAATTTTTTAATAAGATCAGTTAAAAGTTTTTACAATAGGAAACGTAATTAATTAATTAAATTGAGTAGTGCAGTTTGGTTACAAAACATATATTGTACCGTTAAAGTTACGTAAGTTAATTATGTGTGGAAGAAACCTATTTTTACAGCTGTTTGTCATTCTCATGTAAAGCAGAGATTCTTCGATGTTCTCTCAAACTCATAATGTTTACCGTAATATCGAAATACTGTAGGTCTCGCGCGTATATCCGATGCAATTTTGCGTGCAATATCACGACTATACACACGTAAACGCATTACAATTGCGACGTCACAAGCGATGATGACAATGCGCGCCGCAATCTCAAGAGCGATTTCGAAAGGGGATTGTGAGCACGCGTTGTGCGACATCAAAGGCTAAACGTAGAGCGCCGGCAGCGTGCGCGCGCGCGACAGAGAGAAACAAACGGTATTCGCGTCGCTACTTAACGTAGTATCGATTTAATCGCGATAAAAGGCTGCCGCCCTCTCGGGGTCGCTTTCTAATTTATAGACGGCGATCGCCATCTCGATACATTTGTCCGCTCCCGTGAATTTGTCTTGCGGAAAGAAGACAACGCTCGCGTCCCACTTTCCTCGACATCCGAGCCTGCAGGAATCTCAATCTTCCCGCACACACCCGTCTCCGCACACCCGCCGCGCTTCGCAGAGGGTGGATGAACCTATACCCCTTCTGTGTCTCCTCGAATAGATGCATTAAATCGCGAGTCCGCACCGCGTACGTATATACACGCTGACGTGCTTCCTCGAATCGAATGCCAGATTGCAGCTGGTGCGTCATGAGCCCCGGAATATAGGCCTGATGGACGAGATATTTCGCCAATATGCCGTGCGCAAATTGCACGAAGACCTTTGTCGCACGTGTAAGCGACAATACATGTAGTTTCTGTGTAGTTACGTCAATGAAACACGATGTGCGCGCGCTATTACTTCAGCTTTTAAAATGTACATGTAAAATGTGTCATTTATAAAATAAATGTATGTGAGTTGTTTTGTATAATCGCGACCACACCAAAAGCTTCAACTCCGCTTTTCTGTTAATTTTCTATTTTCACATGTGTCACGTATTTCATATTGCATATTAAATAATGAAATAACTCCTCTGCGCGTTTATCTCTGTACAGATGTTATATCACGTTAACAACCGCTCTACATTTATACCGTGGCGGAAGCCCGAAAGGACCCGCGGGTACCGGAAAAACTGAAACGGTCAAAGACTTAGGAAAAGCGCTCGGCTTCAACGTAATCGTGCAAAATTGCTCGGAAGGATTGGACTACAAAAGTATGGGCAAATTATTTTCTGGACTGGCGCAGTCCGGCGCCTGGGGATGCTTCGACGAATTCAATCGGTAAAACTCGTTGTAAACCAAAAGCTGCTGCTTGCATAGAAATGCGATGCAAATTTTATTCAAAAAATCGATTTTTGCAAAAATAAAAGTTTATGAAAAAAACATACGTGTATATTTTTTTTCTTACCTATATTCCATCATTTTTTTATTATTCGCATATTTTTTTATAATTATTTTCTAAAAGATAAAAAAGAATTTGTTCTGCTATATGTCTGTTTATTCTTCGACAGAGAAAGAAACTATAATAGTTAATTTTTTTCAACGACTTTTTATTTTTCTACGAGACATGAAAGAAAAGCGGAAACGTGAGCGGATGTACGGAGTAAAGAGAACCTCGTTTCTTAATCGCAGGATTAATGTCGAAGTGTTATCAGTAGTGGCGCAACAGATACTATCGATATTGACTGCTCTTGCCCAGAGACTTACGAGATTCATTTTCGACGGCACGGATATAGTTCTGGTACACACCTGCGGCATCTTCATCACAATGAATCCTGGTTACGCCGGACGTACCGAACTTCCAGACAATTTAAAGTCCATGTTCCGGCCAATCTCGATGATGGTTCCGGACAGTAACATGATCGCTGAAATCACCCTTTTTGGCGAAGGATTTCAAAATACACGCTTATTAGCCAAAAAGGTTCGCAATTACAATTTTTATAAATTAAATTAATTCATAATATGAATGTTATAAATTATTTTGATTCTAGTAATGCTAAATAAATAAATATATATATATATGTACATGTATATGTATATATAATGTATTATCAAATGTAAAAATAATTTACCCCTTTTAATTTTAATTTTCAACATATATATAACACTTTCAGAAAATTTTACTTTGAAAATAGTATTTAATATTATTTAAGATTTTCATATATTTTAATTATTATAAATTCAACAAATACGGAGTACAGTTTTCGTTTTTGCAGATTTTTACTTTATACTTCCTCGCTCAGCAGCAGCTTAGTAAGCAATATCATTATGACTTCGGCTTGCGAGGTATTGTAACGGTGATTCGATATGCCGGAAAAAAGAGAAGGCAACATCTCAATTTGTCCGACGACGAGGTGACTACTAATAATATTAACATACAATACTATGTATGTAATCTTTGTGAGACAAGTTTTAATTTTTATTACTTTAAACACCTAAGCTAAGAGATAACAATTTTATTATTAAACTCGCGACAATAACATAACTTGGAAGTTTTATATCGTAATAATTTTTATACCTGAAATATCTCTCTTTTCTGTATACGTCAAAGAAATCCATAAAACATTTGTCCTCACGCTTATCCTATTTTGCCTTCTATTATTCCGTAAGCTTGCTGCACATGAAACGCACAAATCATATGTTGTCTATAGATAATTATTCTCGCCATGAGAAATATGAACATTGCCAAGCTCATTTCGGATGATCTGCTGCTATTTCTCGGTATTATCACCGATCTTTTCCCCAAAGTAGACATACCGACCGTGGATTACGAGGAAATTATCAGTCATATAACTACCGAAGCAATCAAGTTAAAGCTGCAGGTAAACTACTACTAGAAAAGGATATAACTCTAACAACGCAATTCCGCTTGCGAGGAAGTGCCTCAACGTTTACGTTTTTTACGATCGCACCTTATCTCTCATTGCCTCAACGGTTCGTCAGGAAATTATTTGTGCCGATCCAACACGCGCGCGAGCTTCTAAATATTAATTCGTGTATATTAAACTCTTCTCCGGGGATGTTTTCCCTTTCCCCAGGGGAGATCATCATTCTCCTTAGAATTTAATCTCCGGCGCGCGTTAACGGAAATAGTTATAGAAATTGTTCGGACATGCCGGATAAATCGCGCTGCCAAGCCACCTCGGGAATTAATTAATCGCTTAAATTATCTGAGATCATGGCGCGCAGCCAATCCCCATGATAGTGACGAAAGTCATCGAGCTGTACGAGACGAAGGGCTCGCGTCACTCAACGATGATCGTCGGCGCGTCGAATACAGCGAAATCCGCGACGTGGAAGATTTTGCAGAACACGATGACGACAATGAAGAGCGATGGAAAGCCGGGCTTTAACGCCGTTCACGTACATCCCATTAATCCTAAGGCACTGAGTCTTGGTGAACTCTACGGCGAGTACAATCTTTCTACCGGGGAATGGCTCGACGGGGTGATATCGTCCATCATGCGGAAAACTTGTTCCGGTAAAACGTTTGATTGATTGCAATATAATACATGTAGCGTAATAAGTGTGTTGTCGCGCGTTAGAAATATCGAAATCATCTCTAACAACAAGATCACTCTATCAAACCGGTTTAAAATCCAAGAAGCTAGTTATATTATAAATTTTCAGATTTAAATTTATTCTAAATTTGGAAATTTCACTCGAGTTATCGATTTCGCGAGATATGTGAGCGATAGCGTTATTTGCGTGCGGATACTATTTCCGTATATTATTGGTAACCACGAGTATAGAGATAAAATTACTAGGAGAGAGAGGGAGCTAGAATATAAGCGAGATCATTAGGACGGAAACTTGTTTCGCTAACGTGATTTATGCCTCGAAAGCATGCTACTGTAAAGCTCCACCGCTCTTTTGACAGAGGATACCGCCGACGAAAAGTGGATCCTCTTTGACGGACCCGTGGACGCTGATTGGATTGAGAACATGAACAGTGTCATGGACGACAACAAGGTATATACTTTGGTATCTCATCCTTCGTTCTTTCTCCTCGCTTTTCTTCTCAGGCTAAAATTGCATAAGGCTAACTGGCGCGCGCGTTACTGAAACTATTGAAAATCGTCGCGTTTTAAGGTACTGACGCTGATCAACAACGACCGTATCGTGATGCCCGATCAAGTGTCGTTGCTCTTCGAGGTGGAGAATTTAGCCGCCGCTTCTCCCGCGACGGTCTCCCGAGCGGGCATGGTCTACAACGATTACAAAACCCTCGGCTGGAGACCGTACGTCGATTCGTGGCTGCAGAAATACAACGCGCAACCGGAGTTCGTGAAAGAGGTGCGAGAGACAAAACTCCGCTGAATAATTTCGCTGAATAATAATACAGTTCATCTGCTTTTCTATCAGATGAATCAGCTATTCGAGAGCCACGTTAACGTCACGCTGGAATTTAAGCGGAGAAATTGCGAGGAACTCGTGCCGATTCTCGAATTAAATGCAGTTCAATCGCTCTGCAAACTCCTCCAAGTTCTCGCAACGCCACAAAACGGCGTGGAATTGGGCGAAGATCGCGACGCCTTCGCCGTTATATGCAGACTGTGGTTTTTCTTCTGGTGCGTACAGTTTCTCTCATTTTCTATACGGTCGACGACCGTAATAATTAATAATTTCAATGACATTACGCGGAACAGTTGTGGCGAAGTGAATCACTGTGTCACAAATTCGTAACTCCATATATTCAACCGACAAGTTTCGAATACTATCCGTCGCCTTCGGGAGCGATATGCTTCTAAAGTGATACTAATACTAGCGCGCGTCTCACAGTTCTCTAGTGGTTTGCAAGTTGTATTAAACTATAAGTTTTCGAGTTAATGACATGCTAATAGTGGTCGAGAGCGCTAAATAACTAGCATTCAAAACGGTAATGTTGCAGCCTGATATGGTCGTTATGCATCACCGTCAATGAGGAAGGTCGTCAAAAGATGGATAATTTTATAAGGGAGATCGAGAGCTTCTTCCCGCTGCGAGACACCGTCTACGAGTATTACGTGGACACGCGCGTACGGACATTTATCTCGTGGGAGGAAAAACTATCTCCCGGGTGGAAATTTCAATCCACGTAAGTGCACAAGCACCATTAAATTGATACTTCAAGTTCCAACTTTTTTTCCGCTTAATTTTCTCCGTGGAAACTTGATCGCGTTAATTGCGGTTCGCGTCCTATCTATCTACGTGGTCGGCGCGATTTTAATTACGATTAGACATTGCGGATTAGGATCGGAATATCCTGAATCTAATCCACAAGTCACATACATCAAGCCCGTATCTATATTCAAATCAAATCATTCAAATCGCGCAGCGCGTGTCACATTCAATTATATCCGTATATGTTTTCGAGAGAATCGATAACCGCGCCGGTAATTTATATCATCCCTTAGAACAGAATTCGCGCGCGCGCTACAGTATATATCCCGGATCAATTTACAGCCTACCGTTCTACAAGATAATAGTTCCCACCGTGGACACAATACGGTACGATTACGTCGTAAGTTCCCTTCTGTCGAACGGTTTTCCGGTGCTCGTAGTAGGTCCGGTGGGCACAGGAAAAACGTCCACCGTCCAGTCGGCGCTCGAATCCCTTGGCGACACGAAATATTCCGTTCTGCTTGTAAACATGTCGGCACAAACTACCTCCAATAACGTACAAGTGAGGCATATACTGTCTGGATAATAGTTTTAAATATTTAATGAACGTTTTATACTATTGGCCTTTCCTCGGTCTTAGGATGCGATAGAGAGCAGGCTGGAGAAACGAACGAAAGCGATTTACATTCCCACCGCGGGTAAGTCTCTGATCGCGTTCATGGACGACTTTAATATGCCGATGAAGGAAAAGTACGGATCGCAACCACCATTAGAGCTGATTCGACAGTGGATCGATTACGGATTCTGGTAATATTGTATTGCAAAATTGTAACACAGAGAACGTGCGGTAAAAAAAAAAGTAAAAAAACGTAACAGATACCAAACGTAAGAAAATCATTAAATAGCAATAATTAAATACATTTGTTGAAACAAATAGATATGTAGATAATATAATGGAAACGATAGGTATAATCGCAAGAAGCAAACAAAAAAATATATCGAGAAGGTGCAATTGATAGCGGCGATGGGGCCACCAGGTGGAGGTCGCAACGTCATCACGAATCGATTGCTCACAAAGTTCAACGTCATTAACATGACTTTTCCAAGCGAGAAACAGATTATCAGGATTTACAGCACGATGCTGAATCAACAGCTTTCCGAATTTCACAGTGAAGTAACGGGAATATGTAAGTACGAAATCTAAAAGATTTGTAAATAAGTCATACGTTTAACTTGTTTTGCTTTTATATTCACTTTAGCAAATGACATAACATACGCGACGATCGATCTATATAATAACGTGGTTCAAAAGATGCTTCCTACTCCAATGAAGATGCACTACTTATTTAACCTGAGAGACATCTCAAAGGTAAAAAGCCTTGATATTAAAAATTAAAAGAGAAATCGGCGAAAATGTTATAAAACCTCAAAAGAACGACGATGCAGATAGAGAAATTAGTATCGATCTCACGAATAGGTCTTCCAAGGGCTGCTGCGCAGCCACAAGGACTATCAGTATTCGAGACAGACTTTCCTGCGATTGTGGGTTCACGAGAGTTTCCGAGTTTTCTGCGATCGGCTTATTGACGAGAAGTAAGCGCTCAAGAGGCATTAACTTAATTTGGATCGGGATACGAGTGGAAAAAAAAATGCTGAGCAATTTCTTTCAGGGACAGGGAATGGTTCGTGACTCAGCTGAACGATCAGCTCGGGAAGTACTTCGAGTTGACCTTCCATAACGTCTGTCCAGAGAAGAGATGCCCCGTTTTTGGTGAATACACTTACTGTTTTGTTTATTTGGTGTTAATAGCAGCTTTATTAATCAAAGCATGGTTTTTTATTAGTATCCTGCTATATCGTCATGTACGATATTCAAGACGTATCATATTTTGTTTCGTATGAAATATTCTTAGGTAATTTTATGAACGCCTGGAACATATACGAAGACCTTCCGGACATCGGCGCCGTGAGGCGTCACGTGGAAGAACAGATGGATGAGTATAATGCTTCTCCTGGCGTGGTGCATCTCGATCTTACGCTGTTTCGAGATGCGATCGAACATATATGTCGCATCGTGCGTGTAATATCACAGGTTTGTGATTTACTTTGAGTATAAGAAACAATACTCGATTTTCCGATATACTTGTTGATCAAACTATAAAAGATTTGATATAACTTTATATATTGCTATCTCAAGAGTTTTAGTACAAACCTGATTTATAATTTGAATAAAAACATAGAACAGAATTTTATAATAACAATATATCGACAAAATTCTTTAATTTATAGATTATTATCTGAATTAAAAGAATCGAATTGTTTTTTAATTAGAGATGATACATTTTGCATGTATTTTTTGTGCTTGCTGCGTATGATCTATTCAATCGTAACAAATACATATATTGAGTTTGGACGTCATAATCCAAGGATTGACATAATTGCCTTCTATAGCCACAAGGTAATGTCCTTCTGATCGGAATTGGTGGTAGTGGCAGACAATCGCTTTCGCGTATTGCCAGTTACATGTGCGATCTGTCCACCTATCAAATCGCCATTACGACGCACTATAGAGTACAGGAATTTCGCGAGGATCTCAAGACGCTGTACTCGATAGTCGGGGTAGAGAACAAACCGACCAGTTTCCTCTTCAATGACACCCAAGTAGTGGAGGAGCAGTTTCTGGAGATCGTCAACAATATGCTGAGCACTGGCGAAGTGGCTAATCTCTACAAGAGCGACGAAATGGAGGATGTAAGTCTGATTACTCCTTCATCTGGATATAATCCATACATTGCTTCGTGCTTTATGTGAAAAATAGAAAGATAGAAAAAATTAATAATAAAATTAGAAATAGCATCATATTTCAAATTTCTTTTTCTCAAAAAACAATTTATAATATTTTATTTATCTGTCGAATATCGCTGCTTTGTTCACAATTTAACTATCGCAATTCGAACGTTTAAGATCTATCGAGATTACGGCGGGTCGCATTTTCTCGACAATTCAGCGCGATAGAAAATAAAATCGATAAGATAAGAAACACGCTGGTCGCGGAATACTGATGTATGCGTCGCGTTTTGCCAGGTTAAAGATAAACTATCAAAGGAAGTAACAAAGGTTGGAAAGATACCAACGATCGAGACGGTGTATTCGTTTCTGATCGAAAGAGCGCGCGCCAATATGCATTTGATTCTGTGCATGAGTCCGATCGGCGATGCCTTCAGAAACAGATTACGGCAGTACCCGGCCCTGATCAATTGCACGACCATCGATTGGTTCCTCGAATGGCCGAGAGAAGCTCTTCTCGAAGTTGGCAACAAGTTCCTCATGAATCTCAATCTGACGCTCACTATCACCGGCGAAAATAAAGTGGTAGGTACGCCCTTCCCCTTTCCGCGCGATCGATTCCATTCGATTCGATTCTTACGATCAACGCGCGTTTCCTATCACCAATCTTCCTCCCTCCCGCCTATCGTCTTGCCCGGACCTTTTCGGCGAATCCGATTATTTTCCCATCTACGGTTTGTCTCTCACTTGGATGATACGAGCGTTCTGGCGCGTTTCTTTCCGGCTATAGTCGAGATTTGTTAAAGAGGTTCCACGAGAACGCGCTTGATATTCATAATTTGTTTCGCCACGGCGCAATCAACACTTTTCATATCCATTCTGTCATCTTTAGATCGAATAAAGAAAATTATGTGTTAAAATATATAAAAAAGTACCAAATACGCGTTAAGTTGTCAAGATATAATAAATATTAAATAAACCGCGCGCGCGAATTATGACAGAACCGCCGTTAATTCCGCAGTGCACAATGAACGCACTTTATTCCGAACCATTTTATTACGTCCAACGCGCAGGGACGAGAGGGAGAGAGATACGTGTAGCCGGTTAAAAAATTTACACGGCGACCGTAACGAACGCGGACGTTACGAGAATGCACTTTTCTACAGGAACCACGGCAATCCGCGACGGCTATTCCACAGCCACCGTTGCAGGACCGAATGCGCGATGGAATTGCAGCATCATTCTCTTTGATCCACGACACGGTGTCGCAGTTCTCTCGCAGAATGGCTGCTGAAATGAAGCGTTACAATTACGTGACTCCCGTGAATTTTATCGAACTAGTAGTCGGTTATAAAGAGTAAGGGTTGCGCAAAAGCGCGCAAAACTTTGAAAATCACTCGTATTCTATATAATTAAATAACAGACGAGATAATTACGCACTCATTGTCAGTGACAATTAATGTTAATTAAATTTCCATTCGCGGTATATACGTCCTCTTCGTATCTTCCATCGGAATGAGATTACATTTGAATTTTCTATTGCTGTCTGATTCAAATTATGCAGTATGTTGGTGGAAAAACGGCAAGATTTAGCAGATCAAGCGAACAAACTCCGAGGCGGTCTTTCGAAGATCGACGATACTCGGGTGAAAGTTAAAGAAATGGCCGCGGAGCTCGAAGTCACTCAGCAGCAAGTTCATAAATCTACGAGAGAGTGCGAAGAATTCCTCGTAACGATAGGTACACGGCGCACGCGACAGTGATATATTATCAGTGGCATTTATCAGATTAATCTATAAGAACTTATTGCTTTTAACGTTCGCGCGCATACACGTGCTGTTTTCTTTCAAACTTTACTTCTCCGCTTAATTAATTATACTGTATTCAGAGTATGACGAATATCTGAACAATGTCGTTTTAATTCTGTTACATTTATTGACGTTCAGCAAACCAACGTCGTGACGCCGACGAGACGCAAAAATTGGTCACTCTCAGATCGCAGCGTATCGTCCAAGAGCAAAAGGAGTGCAAGAGACTCGAGGAGATTGCGCGAGCTGATTTGGCGACCGTAGAACCCGCTTTAAACGAGGCCATCAAGGTCTTAAATTATTTTTTTCTTATAAAAAATTTTTAATTCGAGATTTTTTACTTTAAGATAATATAAGGAGAAATGCTAATTTTCTTATATCTTTTTGTAAGATATTATATAGTTGTTTTAATAGATTAAATAGAGAGTGCATAATTATATAAATAGAATGTGCAATTATATGTTGTTTTAATAGATTAAATAGAGAGTGCATAATTATATAAATAGAATGTGCAATTATATAAACAGTCATGTATAAAATTTTGATGTTTTCCAATAATATCAATTGTATGTCTTTTCACGTGCTAGAAAACTTTTAATCTTGTCTTTCCTTACTTTATCTAATAATATCTAAGTGTAATTGGTTAAGTTGATATTGAAAACAATTTACTTAACACATTAGGCGTTAGAGGCTTTGAGTAAGAAAGACTTGGCCGAAATAAAGTCGTTCGCTCGTCCACCGCCGAAAGTCGAGATGGTGATGGAGGCAGTGATGATTCTGAAAAACTCGGAACCGACATGGACGGAAGCGAAGCGTCAACTTAGCGACGTGAACTTTATTAATACTGTGAGCGACAATGTTGCGACTGACGTGCTGCACTGCTCCATTCTGTTCGTTCCGCAAACTAACTCTCGCTCTCTGATTTGATTTCCAGCTTCGGGACTTCGACAAAGATCATATATCCGACAAAGTTCTACGAACAATAGCCAAGTACACATCCAATCCCGAATTTGATCCCGCAAAGGTCGGCGTGGTATCCGTCGCGGCTAAATCTCTTTGCATGTGGGTGATAGCTATGGAACAATACGGCAAACTGTATAGGTGAGTTTGGCGACAAACTGGTAAATCTCAGTGAAATTCTATTATCTTTTCAGGTTTTAACACTTGCGATTTATAATATACAACGAAAATTTTTGTTTTTTATTTTCTTTTTTTGTACTTGATAATTTTTTATACTTTGCGTTTTTGTTCTTTCTTTTTACAAATCTCGAAACGCTTTTGCGTTTTATTACTACTGTTATTTTATTTACATACAACTAATTCTATTAATAAAATTTCATTTCACGTTTTTTATCACCGCGTTACGGACGAAATCCTAATTATTCCTTTGGCGACACGTTGTAGAATCGTGGCACCAAAACGAGAAAAACTGCAAACCGCCTTAGATTCACTGAGGCAGAAGGAAATGGCCTTAAAGGAGGCAATGCAGCAGCTGCGGAACTTACACCAGCAACTCGACAGATTACAGCGAATGTACGACGCGAAGATGAAAGAAAAGGAGGATTTGATTAGGCTGGCGAGTATATCCGTGTTTCTTGCGCTTTAGAACGCCGGAAATGACCTCACATAAAGCCGAACGAACGAACGAAGCGCTAAAAGGAAGTCGACCGGTTCAATTCGACCAGCTCGCTCGCTCTCTCTCTCTCTCTCTCTCTCTCTCTTCTCTTTCTCTCTTTCTCGTCGGCCAGTAACACTTATATTGTATAAACTTGCGCCTTAGAAAGTAACTACAGAAGCGTCCGTATTTTCATCGGGGAAGATATACTTCTTCTACGGAATTCTGCATTCATATTGAAGAGCGAAACTTATATAAGAGATATTTCCCTCGCGTTTCAAGAGTTACTTTCAATAAAATTTATCAGACTTTTAGAATAATAACAAGGATATATTTGCGCAACTATAAACGTGAGTTATTTTGTTTTGCGGGAATAAAAATATGTACTTGATAAATATTTGAACACATCTTTGCGTCGGAATTTCTCTGTTGCTTCTGATGATAAATCAAAGACGTTTGCGCATTTGACGAGATTTATTTTAGAGATATGTACAATTTTTCTCTCGCGTACAGACTGAATTATTAAAGTTGAAACTGGAGCGCGCGGCGTTGCTGGTTGACAGCCTTTCTGAAGAACGAATTCTATGGGAAAATACAGTGGCGTCGTTAACCGAGTTTTTCGAGTGGTTGCCGGGTGATTGCTTGATATCTATCGGGATCGTGTCGTACCTCGGTCCGTTTGTGTCCAACTACAGGCAGGAGTTAATAAGTATTTGGTCCAAAGAGGTGAGGCTCCAAGAAAATTTTTGTCTTTGGCATTGTAAATATTCTTTATGTAGATTTTACTGATATCTACTGAATTATTAACTTTTGTTGCTCTTTTCCACCAATTATCTCAATTTACATCAAACACTCGCGGACGATTAAGGTGCGAGATAGAGAGATACCAATGTCGCCAAATCTGAACATAAAGGAGTTTCTCGCTGATCCGACTACAATTAGGGAATGGAATATTCAGGGATTACCCTCAGACGAGTTCAGCACAGAAAACGGTATTATAGTGACGCGGGGAACGCGCTGGCCTCTCGTAATCGATCCGCAATGCCAGGCGGTGAAGTGGATAAAAAATATGGAAGCAAAACACGTAATGTCCGGAACACATTGCGATATCTATCAAAGAAACCAATACATCGATGATATTGGGTTTAACGTGAAATTAAATAACTAATTTGCAATAGAATGCTTTTAGCTGGCGAAATCGAAGAATTTACGTTGTCATTTTAACATAACGATTACAATCGCAGTCGCTGAAAGTAATCGACTTTGGTCAAGCGGACTTTATGAGAGTCCTGGAACGAGCGATTCAGTTCGGGTATCCGGTGCTGCTCGAAAATATTGGAGAGACCCTCGATCCGGGCTTGAATCCGATTCTCCAAAAGGCTTTCATTAAATCAGGTATAACTCAACATGGATTTCGTGTAATTATATTCGCATAATTATTATATATTTTATCTCGCGCGCGTTTATACGAGAATTGTGAAAAGGTTTTTAATTCCAAGTATATATATGTATTAAAAGCTACCTAAAAATGGGTAGCAATAAAATTTCCTAGTTAAACTACCGTTAAAAAATAATACAAGAATAAAATATAATTTGAAGTATACACTAATGAATAATTTTGCTTTTAATTATTTTACAATTAAGATAAATTGTAAAACAAAAGATAACCTTTACCGTACAATGCATTAATCAATCTTTTCACATACTGTGTAAAATTTAAATAATGCATATTTTCGCGAATATCACGCGTTTCTGATCAAACACGTTACAGGCGATGACACAATGATTAAATTTAACGATAAAATCATCACGTACAATAAGCACTTCAAGCTATTTATGACTACAAAACTTTCAAATCCCCACTATGCCCCAGAGATATCAACTAAAACGACGTTATGCAACTTTGCCATTAAAGAAGAAGGTAACTAATCATCTCTCAAAGAAAAATAGTGTGTAAAGATATAATTCTGTTCTATGTATGTAGGACTCGAAGCTCAGCTCCTCGGAATCGTGGTCAGAAAAGAAAAGCCGCAGCTCGAGGAACAGAAAGACAATCTCGTTCTCACAATTGCGTTCGATAAAAAGACCCTCAAAGAACTGGAGCATAGAATACTTCAGTAAGATGCAAAAGAACTTGAAACTTACAGCTCTTTAAGCTTTAAGTTTAAATATTTTTGTTTCGGCAACGACTATACGCTTTGTTCTATGTTATATATATATATATTGATAATGTGTCATATCGTCTCGACAATTAATTATTTAAACTGTGTGATTAAAAAGAGTACATAAATATACTTTTTCTTTATGTCAGTCTGCTAAGCGTGGCGGGAGAAACTCTTTTAGACGATCTAGACTTGCTGAATACGTTAAAAACATCAAAGACCACATCCACCTCCATCCAAGAGTCTTTAACTGTTTCCGAAGAGACGGAAAAAGAGATCGATTTAGTGAGAGAAGAATATCGGCCGTGCTCGAAGCGCGCTTCGATACTTTTTTTTGTCTTGAATGATATGAGCGTTATCGATCCCATGTATCAGTTTTCCCTTGATGCGTACAACACGTTGTTCATGCTGTCCATTGACAAGAGTCCGAAGAAAGTGTCATTGTCCGAGAGGATCGATAGCTTGAATGATTATCATACATACGCGGTTTACAGGTACAATCGAATACGGAAATTTTAGTTCTGATAAGAATAATCCAAAACTGAAAAAAGACATTTTTAGTATATATTCCATATTGCATACACACACAAGAAAATATATAATCCCAGAAAAAATCGATCCAACGGAATTTATTTTTTCGAAAACAGAAACACATGCCGAGGTCTGTTCGAGCAGCACAAGCTACTCTTCTCTTTTCACATGTGCGTCAAGATATTGGATGCGCAGAGTAAGATCATCCCAGGAGAATACGCGTTCCTGCTTCGCGGCGGAATCGTGCTGGACCGAGAAAATCAGCCGGACAAACCCGTGTCGTGGCTGCCGGATGAAACTTGGGACAACGTCACGGAACTCGACAAGCTGCCCGGATTTCACGGACTCGTTTCTTCTTTTGAGCAGCTCCCGCGAGATTGGCACAATTGGTGCGTGCAACGACGTGGCCGTGTCACGTCGTTACTCTGTTACGTTTTTACGGAGCTTCATTTCCTACGTTACTTTTTTTTGTAAAACTAGTTTAAGTTTACGTAACTATTAATTCTACTACTTTAAAAAGTTTATTTGACAAATTTATCTAGATAAATGAATTAATCAAAAATATATGAGAGGTCAAAACGTATGATAATTTTGTTTTTCTTATTTGAATTATAAATATAACATTGCTAACACATTAAGAAATATATTCTGTTAAAAATATTTTCGGCACGTTTTTTTCTGTGTAATGTCTGCTTATCGATCTTTTTAATATTCAGGTACATCAGCACGGAACCGGAAGCCGTGCCACTAGTCGGCGAGTGGGATGAAGGCTGCACTGAGTTTCAGAAAATGTTATTCATCCGCAGCTGTCGGCCTGACAGAATATCTTTCTGCATCACGAGCTATATCGTGCGCAATCTCAGTCAGAGTTTCGTCGAACCTCCTGTGCTTGACCTGAAAGCGGTGTTGGATGATTCCGTGGCGCAGACACCGCTGATATTCGTTCTTTCACCTGGTGCGGATCCTGCAAGTGCACTCGTACAATTAGCTGAGAGTCAAGACATGTCTGTTCAGTTTATGATGTTATCACTAGGCCAAGGACAGGCGTCTATCGCTACAAGGTTTACTATAAAATCTAAATATTTTTCAATTAAATAAGGATATAAAATTTTTTTTAAAGTTAATATTTTTTAATAAAAGTAATATCAAATATTAAAAAAAGCAAACTTAATGTAAATATTTATACATGTATGTGTATAATACTTATAATTTTGTTGATATTCTTTTTGATTTTGTGTATGGCACCATTAATATTATTTTATTCTTTGCGCGCGCAGCATGATAGCTACCGGTGCCAAAGAAGGATCTTGGGTGTTTCTTGCGAATTGCCATCTCTCGCTCAGTTGGATGCCCAAGCTCGATAAGATCGTGGAAACGCTCGCTTCTAGCCAAACTTTACATCCAAGATTTAGGTGTGCTAGAGTTGTGATATATTGTTTTATATTATTCAAGCAATCTTTCATACAATGTAACAAATATAAATAATCAAAAATTAAAAAAGCTGAAACTGTTTTAATCTTTTTGCTCAAATATGTAAAACATTTTAATTGTTTTTTAGATAAAAGTTTACTAAAACAGTTTAATTATAAATATCGTAGATTGTGGCTCAGTTCGAATCCGACTCCACAGTTTCCCATATCGATTCTCCAAGCCGGGATAAAAATGACTACCGAGCCGCCAAAAGGATTAAAAGCGAACATGAAGCGTCTTTACGGTTTAATCACTGAAACGCAGTTTGACTTGTGCCAGGAGAAGTCTAAATATAAAAAGCTGCTGTTTTCGCTGGTCTTTTTTCACTCTATTCTTTTAGAACGGAAGAAATTCCAGCAACTCGGGTGGAACGTTATCTACAGCTTTAACGATTCTGATTTCGAGGTACTTTCGAACAAAGAAAGCTTTTACGTAGCGCTGGGAGGAACTTTCTTATTTATCTGCGATTCATGTAACATAAATACATAATACATTATACGTTTCGGGAAAATCAAACAGGCATACACACAACATCTCGACGTTGAAATTCACCTTAGAACAACATCGTCTAATGATTAAGAAGCGTAATTGTCGTAATAGCAGGATATCTGTTGCAGGTTTCCGAGAATCTGTTGCAAGTTTACCTGGATGAATATCCAGTCACGCCGTGGGAATCTTTGAAATATCTCATAGCAGGTGTTTGTTATGGTGGTCATGTGACCGACGATTGGGACCGCCGGTTGTTGATGACATACGTCCAGCAATATTTCACCGAAGACGTTCTAGCTGTTTCCCATTACCGTTTGTCATCATTACCCACCTATTACGTGCCTCGCGACGGCTCCTTGGAGTCCTATCGCGATTTTATCTCGATGCTGCCGAATGTCGATCGGCCGGAAGTGTTCGGTCAGCACGCGAACGCGGATATTGCTTCTCTGATAACAGAAAATCGAAACATGTTTGAGACTTTGATGAGTCTCGAAGTGCAAAAGATCAGCGAAATAGACGAGGGCAAAGAAGACAGAGTAAGCAAAGCCGGTCGTAACTTTGAAAGTTTAGTTATTATTCTCATTCAGTCAATGACTTAAAAGAAAGATTTTCTTTTATTGCTGCATTTTTATCTAGGTAATGCAACTCGCCAACGATATTCTTTCGAAAATACCGGAGAGTATCGATTACGAGAGAACGGAGAAATTGATCGGACCGAATAAGACGCCGCTAGACGTCGTGCTGCTTCAAGAGATAGAACGATACAACGCGCTGCTGGCAAAAACTCGCGACAGTCTTGAGGATCTGCGACGCGGTATCACGGGGCTGATGCTGATGTCGCCGGAGCTGGAAGAAATCTTCGCGTTTATCTACGAGGGACGAGTGCCGCCTCTGTGGCTGACCGCGTATCCGTCTTTGAAACTGCTCGGCGCTTGGACGAGGGATCTAATCAATCGAGTCGAGCACTTCGCCAATTGGGCTCAAACCACTCATCCGCCATTGCTCTTCTGGCTAGCTGCGTATACATTTCCGACCGGATTCCTTACTGCGGTACTACAAACTTCGGCAAGACTCTGGAACGTACCTATCGATTCGTTGTCGTGGGAGTTTACTGTCTTCTCAACGGACGAATCTGCCATAATCGAGCCGCCCATGGTAACTACGAGCGATTAAGCTAATTGCTCGTCGGACCCAAAGCTTCGGTCTGTAGCCACTAATATTGAGCACGACTTTATCGCTATCGTAAGAAGCTTACGTTTTCCTCGTCAAGAGTAATAATAATGCTCATTCATTTACATGCAAATATTCGGCATATATATTTTAATCTGTTTGAGTGTAAACGTTACGAGATTTTATACAGTCAAATTCAACTAATAATTCTGTCGTTTATCATTAACTTCTATCGCGGTTTTTACGTAAAATTCGCGTAATTTTCTTCTACTATCGTAATATTATATTATTTTGATTGTATTTCGTCATACTGTACATAGGATGGCGTTTATGTGCGTTCTATTTTTCTGGAGGGCGCTGGCTGGGATAAAGAGAACAGCATACTCATCGAGCCCGCACTTATGCAACTTATATGCAACATGCCGATTATACATTTTCAACCCGTCGAGCAAGTCAGAAAGAAAGCCAAAGGTGAGAATATCAAAGTTTTAGTGGATTTTTCTTCTGCGCACAAATACGTACACGCTACAAGTAATGAAATTTCAATTCTACTGTTCTCTCCATTTTTACAGAGCTTTACACCTGTCCCTGTTATTATTATCCTCAGAGAAGCGGCGATCAAACTAGGTCCTCGTTTGTGGTCACAGTGGATCTCAAATCTGGTCCACAAGGTCCCGATTTTTGGGTGAAACGAGGCACTGCGCTTTTGCTTAGCTTGTCTGTATAAGCTTTCCTTTGTATTCACTATGTGTGTTTCATGTTATAATTTGCAATACCACACTTGAATTTTAGCAATAATACAAGAATATGAAATATTGTGAATAATTGAAGTCAATTCTGTGTTTACATTTTATAAGAAAATTTTTATTTGTGAGCGCTTTAGAGATGTGAAATTAATATATAAAATATAGTTAACTATAATATCCGCTGATAATATAATTTTACTCGCACTCGGTTATTATTATTATATCGAAATAGTTCTTATTCACTATTGGTACAATAAATATCAAATAGAGTGTCAAACGGTACAACATAAACACCACTGCTCTTCAAATATATATCGAAATGTAGTTAAACATATATCTCATCTTGATAGACTAGATATTAGTTTGATCGATACATGCTACTTAATCGACTGAGTGTAAAAAACACAAACCCTGCATTTACAATTAATCAGATAAATATAATAATAATTTACTCGAATTATCTTAGTTTATAGTTAAGGTTTCTTACCGACAAACCTAGTGAACGTAGTTGCCAATGTGCATCATTAGGGACATATCGCTAGCGAACAGGGCGGAAAACCGATAACAGGTAACACTCTCTCTGGAGCCGTAGCTTTTCTCAGTCTTCTCTCTGGATTTAGGTAAGTCTTTGCTGGTTGGTTCTGATCTTGGCTGTGAAATAGAAAAAAGATAGTAGAATTCAAATGTTTTCATTACTTTTTAAAACAGAATAAAACTGAGAGTAATTTTATTATGTTATCTTAGTGGCAAAAAAAATAGGTGTTTATATTATATTATTTTTTATTTTATCAAGAAGCACGTTTTTTTTTTTTTTTTTTAAAAATTGTGCGTTCATGTGTTTAACTTTTCTTGTGTTATTCCGTTTTGATTATTATTTTAATGTAAAATTAACATATAACTGATATATTATTATTTTTGGAACGTTTTCATATGTTAGACTTAAATCAACTTCATAACTTAACATTTTGTGTATGTCACTTAAAAATGAAATATTATTTTGAGTGCATTAGTATTTCAATTGATTTACAAATTCCAAAGTTAATTCAACATTTTAAAGAAAGTTAAAGTAAATCTTCTGAAGTAATTCTTTTGAAATTTTGTACGCGAATTATTGTAACGCTTTAGTTTTTAATTATTTATTTTTATATTTTTTAAATTTAACTTAAAATTTAGAGTGAATCTGAGACATGTAAGAAATGTTAAAAGTAATATTTTCTTTTTTGTGCAATGCTTCGCGCCAAATAGAGAAGCCTGATCATGCTTCTCGATTGCAATAATTGCATAATATGTGTGTCCTTCACTCGAGTTGAACGGCGATAATAATACCGCACAGAGTGACAGAGATAAGTGGAACGTGCATATATACACTATTTCCATGTATTACATATGTATTATCAATGAATAACCTGATATATATTGCCCCTCTTTTTTGTATAGTTATGCAATTTAGATTTATCAGATCCTTAATCAGAATGTACTTGAAGTGTTTCTGCTTCGTCATTTTGTATACTATCATTCTGTTTTATCTGTTTATTGACGTCATCAGGGCCGGACTAACCGAATGTCCTGGCCTAGGCAACTGTTGGTGGGGGCCTATGTAAGGACATATTTTGAAAAAAAAAAAACAAAAAAAAAAAAAAAAAAAGGTAATTGGTATAAAAAATAAAAAAATAATTATATATTTTAAATAGGATACTTCTAAAAGACATGTATCTAATTTTTGTTTGAATTTATTTATTTATTTTTTTAAGTTTTCTTTTGTTGGTGGGGGCCTTTTTGTTGGTGGGGGCCCATAGGCAGTGCCTAGTCTGCCTATGCGTTAGTCCGGCACTGGACGTCATAAAAGAGAATGAAACGAGTTGTGCAAATATACCGTGCATTACGTATGTTGAAGCTCAGATGTACTTCGAGTGCGAAAACGCTCACATCACTCTTGTTTTAATGATGCTGGGACACTGGTTGCTGTGTGTGATCGGGCTCGCGACAGCGGCGGCAATGACGACGACGTCGAAGCCGCTGTCGATTTTACTGGTTGAACCACTCCGATCGACCAGCCATCATCTCTGGACGATGACTTTCCTGAAGGCGCTGCTTCGTAGAGGTCATCATGTGCACATCATCAGCATCCAGGAAACCAACATCAAAGGTACACTCGCGCAGAACTTGACATCGGACGTAAGTAGAAATAACGTGTCTCTTTTGCAAATATATTTTTGAATATTTCAAAATAAATTTAAGTATTTTAGAACTTTTCAAAAAGACATATATGTTTAAATCAATTATATAATTTTTTTGAACAAACAAATGTTCTATAATTCTTCTTTGAAATTTTCTGAGATTACATACGGATATTTTTTTTTCGAAAATATTTATTTATCAAAAGTGTTTTCATTGTTTTTAGGTTTTCGATAATATAATGGACGAAATAGAAACTTTCGATGGTGATAAATACGAGCCAGCCGAATGGGAAAAATACAGTGTACTTTACTCTGTATATTTTACGTACAAATGGAGCAATTTTATGTGTGAGAAAATGATAGAAAATAAAGGAGCGAAGAGGCTTTTGGAGACCGTCAAGAATGTCAAATTCGATGTCATAGTTCAAGACATCACGCTGTATCAATGTCTGTACGGATTGTGGGAGGTAAAAGCAAAACAAAAAGTATATATCTGTATTAATAAAAAAAAAAAAGATAGGATTAGAAGCTTTTTGCTACATCTCGAAATTACAATTCATCCGCGAAAGATCGTGTAAAAAATTATACAATCGCTTGACAAACTGGTCACTTTAAAACAGGTGCCAGTTTTAATTGAGATATTGTTTCTAATTCTATTGTTTATGATGCACGCAATATTTCTGCGCACATTTGTTCAGGTTGCTAAAGGTGGACCACCCGTGGTGGGTTACGTTCCGTTCGGTGCCGCGCCCTGGATCAAGCATTACATCGGCGGACCCAGTTATCCGTCTGTTCGTCCGTATGTGCACGCAGATCTTGCAGGTGTACCCGTAGGTTTGTGGGAAAAGACGTGGAACACCTTCTACTACATGATGGACGATCTTATTCGACAGTATCATTATTTGCCCATTAATCAACAGTTCGCTGAAAGATACATAGGTCACAAAATCAGACCGCTGCATGAAATAGAAAAAAATATAAGTATCGTATTAATTAACAGTCATTCTCCGTTTGACAATGCAATTCCGTTACCTCCGAACGCCCTGGAAATCGGAGGGATGCACGCGCAGATCGCACAGCCAATTCCCGGCGAAGTTTCCGTGATGTATTCCGAAGTAAGTACAATAGATCTTTCTTTGTATAAGAATTTTAATTCAAAAAAGTAGAACAAAGATAATATTGTAATAAACTACTGTGCATGTTTTTGCACACAAAAATTTTATACGTCCAAGTTTCACAATGCAAAATTATCAGTTATCATTTAACAATTTCTTAAAAAAGAAAAAAAAGATATGGAGTACAAACTTTGTTTAAATAAATTTGATAACACGCGTAATATCTTTCTAATAGAAAAGTGTTACGCGTGTTATCAAATTTATTTATTCCATTTATTATCTTGATGAATGTATTAGTTACTAGACGCACATGAATTCTAAATATGCATATATTTTAATATATTATTACTGCACTCGTATTTTGCAGAATATACGCAAATTTCTTGACGAGGCAGATAATGGAGTCGTTGTGATATCGCTGGGAACAAATGTGGGATGGAAATCTTTTGGAATGAATAAAATCAAAGAAGTTGCAACAGCTCTGTCGAAGCTGAAGCAACGATTCCTTTGGAAACTGGACATCGAGGTGCCGTTTCAAATGCCGGACAATGTAATGATTGTTAAATGGATGCCACAAGATAAGATATTGAGTACGTTTCCGCCGTAAAAGAGTGTTTGACAGAGAATTCGATATATTTATAATAAAAATTTGCCATAATATATTTTTTTATTTAGCGCATAAAAATGTAAAGGCAATCTGGACGCACGGTGGTCTTCTCAGCATGCAGGAAGCTATTTGGAAAGGTGTACCAGTCATTGGAATGCCTTTTTTTATGGATCAGAGGTTCAATACCAAAACGTTAGTGTCTAAAGGCGCTGGTGTACGATTGAATGTCCAAAATTTGTCCATCCAATCCATATTGAATGTGCTGGAAGCTATACTTTATAACGAAAGGTACGTTGTAATTAATAGCAAGTAAGTAACATATAATTGACACAAATCTTTCTTTTTGCGCAGTTATGCAAGAAATATGAAAAAGTTATCCAGTGAATATCGGGATCGGGTAGTGCCACCGTTAGATTTAGCGGTATGGAGCATCGAATATGCCGCTCGCAATCCTCATGGGAGTTTGGCATCGCCTATTAAATTTCAAAGTATCATTGAACAGAACTTGATCGATGTTTACGCAATTTTGTTCCTTACTTTTGTTGTAATTTTATTGATCTTATTTTTTGTGTTGAAAGTATTGTATAAATTTTATTATAATTACATATGGACCGCATCTAAACTTAAAAGCAAACAAAGTTAAGCAAACCTAGTAGATATTAACAATTAATAAACAATGAGATAAGGAACTCAATCACATGTTTACAGAGAGAATAGCATTGTCAATTTAATGTAACTATATACAGATTAATAAATACGTATATATATATATGTATATATATATATATGTATTAATATGTATTAATTATTATTAATTTATGTAAATGTAATTGTTCAAGAAGAGAGTCGATATTAAGAAAATTTAAGTTTAAAATATTCTTTCTATTAAAAAAAAATGTAGCAGTAATTTTTTCATTTCCTTTGTTTTTTCTTCTATTCATCAAAAATTATACGAAAACGGTTTTTCGCCATATTGATTCTTGACACTCACGCACGCCAAAATCTGTAGCGATTTCATTATTCCTCCCTTCGATGTTCCCTGACCTATCCCTCAGGACTCCCGCACTTATAGATACGCTTTCCTCCCATTTACGACTTCGATTCCCGCTACGATCCTTTGGATGATACCATTTCTTGTATCCAATGTCGCAATATCTTAACTAGAAAAGGGTGAATCGGAGAGATACGAGATTCCACTCGCAATAAACTATAAGCGCGCTGAGACGACAATATGAGAAAAAAGTTTAAGGACGTACGATCGAGAGAGAAAATGCGATACAAATATTTAATATTTTACACTCAATTCAAGTTACAAATCTTGTTCTAAATAAGACTTTTGTTTTATATATTTAGGTTGTTTTGTATTGTTGTGAAAAATTTATTTCTGCTGGCGAACTCAGAGGCTTTTGTCTTATCTGTGTTTATTGCGGACGATGTTTTTCTCGGAGACGATTTGGCCAAAGTAGCTCATTTACATGCCATCCGGAAAGAAGAACGAGTGCATATAGCGATTGCAGACTCATCACAGTTATAGCTATAAAAATCGTGCTCGCTCTTTTCCTTTACCTGTTCTTGTGCTTTTTCCTCGCTGCGGAAGCGAGCAAACTGACCAGATAAAAATGCTCATTTGTGTAATTACAGTCACAGAAATATTATCTAAATTTAAAACTGAAAATACAAATACAATGCGTAGGTTCTCGCATGTCTATTTTTAAAAATGCATATTTTATTCCTTGTCGACTTCCACAATACAAGGAAATGCTTTATTTCGGTCGCTTCATTTCCAGGTTGATGATAATAACAGGATATCGAACATTAAATCAGTATTCTCTGTCCCGTTCTCTCTCTGAGGTGGAAGGAGATAAATGAGGAGTTTCGATAGACGTAGCCTGCGGCTTTTCGTCAAATCCGATCAATCGACGTAATTCCTGAGCTAAATCTTTGGCTAAAAGAGTTGACTGCTACTTTGCGATAAGTTTCTCTGTCTTGAAGGAAAAGAACATTTCCACTTGACATTTATACGTGTATCGTCTCATTATTCATCAATGACAACAAGAAAAACTCGAATTCTGTATTACAGTCGTGAAAATAACTCACATCTTAAGAAAAACTTTCGTGCGCTTTACTCGCGTATATATAGATATATAAGAGAACGTTGGAGAGACAATCACTCGGGAATACTTTCTTCTTCGGACGTTAGTTCGCGACCACGCTAGATCGACCGTGAAACCGAAGCCATCTTATTTTCTTGCAAATGTCGTAGTCGCGCTCGTCTCATTCCGGAAAGGAAAACCGCATCGTCTCAGTTGTGAAAGACCGATAAATCGCCAGAGAAATTCCGCAACTTGCAAACTACCGCGCTTTTTAGAAGTTTCCAAGTTGAAACAGTTCCACAGTGCAAAAAACAGCTTCTTTCTAATTTCAATCGTATATTATTGTATTTTATCAGTTTACATTACGTACGTATCTTTTATTGCTCAACGATTACAGTAAAGCCGCCCTTTTTGTAGAAAGCTTGAAAGAGAAAATAACACGTTGAAGGTAATGACTATCGACCGTGACACACGATGGACCATTTCGTGGACATTCACAGCGAGGCGGTTCGGATGTGTGTGCATGCGTTCATAGACGCACCGACACATGTGGTTTTTTCTCAAAGATCAATATAGCATCCTGTTGTCCACTCTCTCATCCCGTTTTTTAATATATAATATAATACATCAGTTTTGTATAAAAATACTCGGCTAAAGCGTTACAAGATGTGCTTCGCTCTTTGCGCGAATAATATCACGGGCTGAAGATGCAAATCGCGAGAAGAGCGGGAAACGATCGATCGAGAAGCGCGTCGCTTCGCTTTCTCTTCTCTCTGTTCCAAGAGGTACAATAAGTGACGTTGCTCTAATGGACTCGGAATGATAAGGCTCCAACTGGCACACGTTTGTACATGTGTTTGGAGAAGTGAACTCTCAAGTTGCAAACTTTTCTTTCTAATTTCATAATGTGCACGCCGAAGAGAAATATTTATGGTGACAGAGCTTATATATATATATATATATATGTACATATGTATTTGTTAACTAAATATTTATTTTGCAGTTGTTTCTGTGCTGAAAAATGAGCTTCCTAATTAGATACGTATTATACTATCTATTTACTTTTTAGTATCATATCTGCTTCTCTTATATCTTTTTTTATAAGTATATCTTTTTTTCACATTATTGCAACAGTTTAATAGCAGATAGATGATAACGTTTAAATACGATAATAATTTCTTAATGTGAAAATCTTGTCAATCGATAATGTTGAACACATGACATGTGCAGCATTTAGTGTGCATGTATGTATCTCTTATCTTTCGTTGTTTAAACTCGTCATATCTAATACGACACCGTCGATTTAATCATGGCGATCGGGTTTTTTCAAACGTCTTTTCATTCATCAGCGTGCAAGGGCACGTCATCGACGTCACGATTGAATATTTTTCACGTGGGCGAGGTATCGGGGAAAATGAGCAAAAAGCGAAGAAGGGGGATCGCGCGCAAGAAAGAAGAACAGAGGCGCTCCACTATAGTGGAGTTGCCGGTTTATCCAGGTGTCCGAGATGCAAACTTCCTACAATTTTCACGATAGGGGGGAGTTCCGTCTAGGGCGCAAACTCGGGTTTCTCATTGGTCGGTGTACCCCGTGACGTCATCGCGCCGCCAGTGTTACGTATAACTTGAAGCACGCGGAGCTTTAGTCAGTCAGTTGACCGCCGTTCGTCACCCCGAGCAGAACTCACTCTAAAAAGACCAAGAAGAGTGCCGGATCCTTGCTGACTTGCTGTTATACACCTTTCGTGGTTTTGCACATCTTCAGGCTCTCACTCTTGAAAGGTAAGTAATTTTAACGCTTAACGCAAAAGAGATAATGTTTTTGTTATATAAATTTATTTTATTAAATTTTGACTTCTGAAATTAATTTATATTAATTTTTTTTATCTATAGGTTTTTTATACAGATATTTACATATTAGTAATTTATCACTTAGAAAGTAACGTTTAAAACTCTATAAGATTGTTGTTTTTTTCTATAAAAAATATTTAATTAGAAATAAAAAATAAAATCTGCGATTAGTCTTCTTTTTTAAATAAAATTGATGCAAAAATGAAAGAATTTATGATATAACTATATATATTTTACGATGAAATAAAGCAGCGGAAATTTTATTAGAGTCTCTTCGCGGTTTTAAAGTCGAGTACCTTTATATACAGTCGATAGTATTTTTGTACAGTGTAAGGATATATAATTTGACGGGTATTGCACTTTCAGCTTAGTCATTTATTAGATATTCAAAAACCAGAAAATTTATATATTATGTGATATTACTTTATATACACTTGATATACATTTATCTATTATACTTGTGAATTGTGTAAATGTACCCTTAATGATGAAAGTACTCGACGATCTTTTTGTGAAAAGTTAATTAGCTTGTTGCGCAAACTTTCGGAGAAAGTCCAAAAAGAACGCTACGGAAAACTTACTTATTACTTGCATGAGCAAGTTGCTTTGTACAAATTTAGTTTGGTCGTTTCAGCTCACAGACACAAGAGTGTGGGTGAGCAAATTTCGTGTCGACGATTATATCAAGGAAGCAACAGGCTTCTGGCGTAATACATATTCTTATATACAAGACAAAAACATTTTTTTCTATAATATTCTTTTATAAACTTTATCAAAAACAGTTTATACAATTGTTTTATGGTATTTTTATTATTGTAATTAAAATTTGTATTAATATTTATTGGTGCTATAATATTTAATTATGTTAATATAGTTGTTTTAAAAATTTTATAATAGAATAATGTTAACCAAAATATAACTCTGTATGAAATACAATTTCGCGGAAGAAAAAGAAGAAGAAAAGAGAGAGAGAGATGGTAATACTTGAGATACCATATCCTCATGTGGTCACTTTAAATGCGGTTTACATCTGGCGATAAAGCACACACCGATGAAGTACACTTCATCGAGTCGCAACTTCAACATTTCGCTTCCGTTCGTTAGCGCAAATCGAAGCCTTGTCCACTGTAATAAGCTAAAGCGCTCCGAGGGGAGCAACATTGAATTTATCGGATTTCGCGGAATGCAAATATAACGTAAGCACTAAAGTTTTTATCGACTATGTCCGGAACAAGCCGCAACTTTTAAATTCCATCACGCTTGTCTGTCTATTCCAACAAACCTTTCCCTTATGTTTTTTTTTATCGATTCTGTAAATCGTCAAACAAACTTTTCCACTACACACACATACACACGTACAGCAAGAATATGTCAATTTTTACTTTAGTAATTTTAATTTTATTATAAGATTGTAATTGTTCCATCTAATTTTTTATTATCGATCTCTTATATAAATGTCCGAAAGTTTAGATGTATGCTGTTATACATATATAAATTAATTAATCCTTGATAATTGACAAAATGTATAACAGTCTTGAGTTATTTGAAGCATAAGTAATTTAACAGATTATTCAAATATTAAAGCAAAGCCGAGAGCCATTCTGTGAGTTTGAACTGACAATAATCACGTATACTTCCATTGAGTCAGATACGTCCATGTGTGTGCTGAAATCTAGAAGTAATTAACAAGTTTTGTATAATTTAATATTGTATTTCTTCCTCACAATATTCTTCCAGAAAATTTAATCACTCTAAGAGATGAGTTTCCATAAAAATTTGTATGTAATTCATCTGTTGAATCTCGTAATTCTTATGCGATGTATTTATATGCCGTTTTATTATGGCTAATTATTTTAATTGCTCGATTACACAATTACGCGATTTACGACGAATAAATCACTTACGATTAGGCAATAAACATTGTTTCAATATTTTCAATATTTAAGGTTCGTTATGTAAAAGAAGAAAGAAATTTTATTTTATAATATCACAATTAATCTTACATCTATGACAATATTCCCTCATGGTCAGATGTTGTTTTAATTGCCACAATATTTCCTCACACATCAATCGTTTTAATTTTACTCGATCCGTTGCTCACGAAAACTGCATGAAATTAATATCAAACCTTAATGCATCGTAATGCTAATGAGATATGTAAATGTGCAAGTTTCAATATTCAAATGACGATAAATTACTATAATGTTCGATTTGGTCGCAACTGAGAATATCTAAGAGAGAAGTTAAGTTTATAAATATTTGTTAACTGAAGCAACATTGTCACTAAGAGTACGCAATAATTTTTTTTAATTTGTTATCATTGTTTATATGATTTTACGAAAAAAAGTAATGTTTTATTAATCGCGCATTATATACGATTTTCTTCATCCTCATTGGTCCTTTGTTCAACGTATTTACATAGAAAATGGCAGAAACGGAAAAGCTACAACTGGACGAGCTTAGAGTGCGACTTACGAAAGAGATTACAGCTTGGGGAACGATAAGCGTGAGAAGAAAGTAATGTAAGAGAATAGCAAAATATAGACTCAATTTCCGGAACTTCTCGTGAGAAAATTAGTGATTCTCGTCAGGAGAGACGCGTGTTTAAATCTGAGTACACGTGTGATTAGTCAAATATTTTAATAATAATAAAAACGATTAAAAATATACCGTAAAAACTCATTTTTTTCAAGATTTATGAAATTTAGATAAATCAATACCCTTTAAATTACTCCGCATTTTTGTTTCACAAGTTTTGATACAAACGTCACATAATTTTGAAAAGTTCAAGAGACTCGTGACAAAGAACAAACTGTAGAATGTGCGTTTCAATTGCAAAAGGCTTTACATTTCGAAACGTTGTATGACGGGTCATCTAATCGAAATGAAACAAAAACAATATATATGTACGTAAATAGCAATATTATAGCATGTAACAAATCAAATAGTTTTTATTTAGACACTTAACTTTTTTTATATTATTGAGATAAATTATTCTAGCATTTGAAATAACGAAATTGCAAAAGTTGACGAATGCAGTTCTCATTTTTGTCTCTTTTAAGGTTTTGCTCTGTGCGGCTTAGAATTTAATGTTTTGCGTGTGCATCGGCGCATGATCACAAAGCGCGTAGGTGTATAGTGTTGCACCAGGTCGAGATTACTTTTCTTATTTATGCTAGCAGAATCTTTGCAGATTTTTTTGTATTTTTTTATGTCACATTTATGTAATCTGATGAGATGCGAGAAATTTTTAACACACACACACACACATTCGCAGAATATTCTTCATTATTATTTAAATAAACATATTATCAATGAATTCAAACACACAAAGCAATTTTTTGTCAGTCTATGTATGTACATGTGTATATAAAAAAGTTTAACAATATACTCTCTAATTTCGTAACATACAAGTTATAAGCATATTAAAGCTAAATATCTCCATCCAATATTAAATTTGTATGTTAACATTATTCAGTTCTTAACAAAAGTTTCTACGATGTATAGCATGAAGTTTATAAAGAATGTATAAATAAATTAATTTTTATATGATGTTTCACATATATATAGCGTTTTTTGTTTGTAAATTTTATAGATAATTCTCTTTCGATGTTGTATATACGTATATGTTGCACAGTGGACGCAGGTAATTGAACAAATTCGTCCGGAATAATTAATCTGTTAGAAAAATATGCTGATCACGTTCTGACCGTAAAAAGATAGGCAGTTAATTAAAATTTTTTTTCCGGTGAGACGCAACGCTCGTGAACTTGATGAGAATCGGTATAATAATTAGGATAGGTACTAATTAATTGTACTGCCAACCTCGCAATTACATAAAATTACGTGTCAAGCAGTAATTGCTTTTGGACGCTATGTAACCAGTACGTCTGACCTATACGCGCTTGTACTACTTGCAGTAATATCACGTTCTTTGATCTACTCTATTTTGCGTACGTGTAATAAGTAGGTTTGTTTATCTCTGTAAAATTTTATGTTGCCATGAAATAGCATAACTTTTACAATATAATTAATTTGTATATGGCAATCTTTTTATCAGCTATAAACAGTAATTATTGTAAATGTTCAGTTCTCTCTCGAGTCACATCATATTTTTCTTTAAATCTTTTGTATTTAGAATAAATGCTAAGACAATTAAAGATAAAAGAGTAAAGAGAGAAAATCAATAATTTAAATTTAAATAATTGCATAAATGATTAAAATTTTGTTACGCCATTTTAAATAGAGTTTACTAAATACAATGTATAGCACGAGACTTGTGTGAAATTATTTTACTAAATATAATAAACTTTTTGTGTGATTGTAAGCACTAAATTTTCGTAACTGATAATTTATCCTCGAAGTGTTATATAATAAAAACTATCAGAGTTAAAGTTTTAATCTCTATTCTCGTTAAACGGGAGAAACGCGCAATGTATCGTGCCATATGAAAAGTTTGGCATTTAATCGGACTTTGAGGAACAAAAGGAAAGTGCCGACTACACTTGTTGAGTCTGCGGTATTCTCGGCCCTTACAAGTTACATCACATATATGTGGATTTATGCAACAAAGTTATGCAACAGTCTCGTCTACATTATTACAATATTATGGAAGGTTTAATCGTGCGAAATATCCACACACATGGAGGTATTAAATTGTTCAAATCCTTCTCGCGGTTAATTAATATCGACGCTTTCAATATATAATAATCATATAACCTCAATCATTAGTCTCAGCTTGTGAAATCAACAAAGTCGCTCGGTTTCGCGCGTACAGGTGAAACAACAGCCACAACAAAACAAATTATAAGTGATCACTTAGTTCGATTTGCGTGCAATTTTATCAACCATCTCACATCCATTGTCACAGTATAGTGCGCGCTCTATAAACAATTAAACACGCAAGTCCTATTATACCATCCGCAACTGTT